AATTGTGCACCTTAGGGGCAGTTAGGACTCTTAGGGTTACCCTGAATGAGTCAAAATAAACAAGTCCTTCATTAAACTCAGATCGCTCTGCAAGGGCGTTTCCCTCCTGGAAAGGACGCTGTAATTACCTCCAGTCTGACTCTTCCTATCAGAGGTTAGATTTCTGAGCAAGCATCGGATACATACCTTTGGAGAGACTTGGCTACAGACGCTGTATTTAATCCGCTGCCGTGAATAATGCCTTTGTGTTCTGTATAAAGCCCGGGAGATCTTATCAGTCATGCAGAGGGGGCCAGTCACATCACTTTATCTGACACGGTGCATGCTTTGCAGAGTCCTCTTTTGGGATGACTGCCTCATGGTTACTGCCAAGGCTTTGATGGGGAAGGGGGCTAAGAGTTAACCTTGAGGCCGGGCGCGGTGGCTTACGGGGGTAATCGCAGCACTTTGGGAGGCCAAGGTGGGCGGATCATTTGAGCTCAGCAATTTGGGACCAGCTTGGCCAACATGGGGAAACCCCATCTCCACTAAAAATAGAAAAAATTAGCCAGGCATGGGGGCAGGCGCTTGTAAGCCCAGCTACTCAGGAGGCCGAAGCATGAGAATCGCTTGAACCCAGGAGGCAGAAGTTGCAGTGAGCTGAGATGGTGCCACTGCACTGCAGCCTGGGCGACAGAGTAAGACTCCATCTCAAAAAAAAAAAAAAAAAAAAAGTTAACCTTGAGACTCCAGGGGAGTCTTACAGCTGCTTAGATGGCTTTTTGAGAAATGGTTCAGAGCTGCTTGCTTTGATACCCTTTTCAGCCTGTGGCAAACATCTGCTTAGTGATCTTGCTGGTTTCAAAAATGGGATCCATTCCTTTAAAACTGGCCAGGCCATGGGAGTCAGCTGCATGCCTACTAAATAATATGTAAATACTGTTGTTTTGTTGTTGTTGTTGTTGTTGAGATAGGGTCTCACTCTGTTGTCCCGGCTGGAGTACAATGGTGTGATCATGGCTCACTGCAGACTCTACCTCCTGAGCTCAAGGGATCCTCCCACCTCAGCTTCCCAAGTAGCTGGGACTACAGGCCCACACCACCACACCTGGCTAATTTTTTATTTGTTAGAGAGATGGGGTTTCGCCGTGTTGCCAAGGCTGGTGTTGAGTTCCTGGCCTCAAGCGATCCTCCTACCTCAGCCTCCCAAAGTGTTGGGATTACAGGTGTGAGCCATCATTCCTGGCCCATACATATTGTCGATTGCTTTGCAAATTGCTCTAAGCTAAGGTTATAGCTGGTGGAATGTAGTTTTGCCAAATTACTCTTTCAGAGTCATTGAGGCAGAGCTTGCAGGATCTGTGCTGGTACCTCTCGGGTGTGTCGTCCGGCCCAGCTCCTCCCTCACTCCGGCAGTGTGTGGCATCTCCACCCGGATGTCCTGGCGACATTTCACATGTGGCAGGTCCAGGCATGAATTCTCAGCTTCCGCCCCAGCCTGCCTCCTTCCCTCCCTGAGACTGTCCCATGTCAGTACCTGGCTTCACTGAGTGGGTGGCTCAAGCCAGGAGCCTGACAGCCCGTTTCACCAGCACGTGCAGCTCAGGGTGCCTCTGCAGACTGTCTTGTGTGGGTCATTGTCCACACTGTCACTGTCCCTGTCACTGACAGACTGGGCCAGGCCCGGGCACCTTAATGGAAGACAGCCTCAGCTTCTTACGGGTCCTGCTTCCCCATCCATGCTCCATACAGCAGCCAGGGTGGTCTTTAGAACAGAAATAGTGGCAGGTTCCCTTTCCTCTGGGCCCTGGGATGCTTCTCCATCACTAGCACAAAACCCTGCCACCTCCCACCGGCTGCCTCTGCCTTCCTCTCCAAGCTTGGCCACCTGCCCTTGAACCCAGACACCCTGCCCTTGACCCCAGCTACCCTGCCTTTGACCCCAGACACCTGCTTTTGACCCAATACCCTGCCCTTGATCCCAGCTGGCCTGCCCTTGACCTTAGCTGTCCTGCCACTGACCCCAGATACCCTGTCCTTGACCCCAGACACCCTGTCCTTGACCCCAGACACCTGCCCTTGACCCCAGCCACCTGCCCTTGACCCCAGCCTCCTGCCCTTCCTGCCTCCAGCTGTTGCCTGCTCTTCCCATGGTCGCTCCTTCTCCTGGCTTCACTGTCTCCTGAGAGGTCCCCTTGGCACCTCCCCTTCCTGCACCAGAGTGCTGCTCATGCATTGCTTGTTAGCGTGGTCTACGCCGTGGGAGGGCAGAGGGGCCTTTTCTGCTGGTGTCAGCTCCTCTCCTCGGCAGGCACATTGGAGGCCGTCAACAGATATCTGTAATGTGGACAGATGTGTGAAGTCGGGTGCCTTTCCAGGGCCTGTCAGTGGATGGTTCGTGTTTTGGCTGGTGGAGGACTAAGCCAGGCTGATTTCTGTAACGGGATCTTCGAAACTGTGATAGCCACTGATTTTGAGCATCAGTGGCCGAAAATCATCCTGTGATGAGAACACGCACACCCATCCACACACACACACCATACACACGACCACACACGCACACACCATACACACACAACCACACACACATGCACCCACACACACCCACCCCACACACACCCACCCCCCACACACAACCACACACAGGCCACGCACCCACACACACCACCCACACACCCACCCCCCACACACAACCACACACACGCCCACGCACCCCACACACACACCACACATACACCACACATACACCACACACACTCACCCCACACACAACCACACACACCACACACACGCAACACACACACACCCACACACAACCACACACCTGCCCATGCACCCCACACACACACCACACACACCACACATACACCACACACTCACCCCCACACACAACCACACACACCACACACATACCCCCACACACACCACACACATATACACACATACACCACACACACACCACACATGCACACACACACCACACACACCCCACATACACATACACATACCACACACACATATGCCCACACACACCACACATACATATACACGTATACCACACAGACACCACAAACACACCACATACACATACATATACCACACATACATATGCCCACACACACACACACACACACACACATATACACGTATACCACACAGACACCACACACACAAACACACCACACACATACACCACACACACCACATACACATACCACATACACATATACACACACATACACGTATACCACACAGACACCACACACACATACACAACACACATATACACCACACACACCACATACACATACCACACACACACATCTACATACACACACACGAGTTTTTGGATTTTTATTATGGTCCTTGATAGTTTTTTCCTCTTAGCTTCTCTTTTTTTTTTTTTTTTTTTTTTTTTTTTGAGACGGAGTCTCGCTCTGTTGCCCAGGCTGGAGTGCAGTGGCGCGATCTCGGCTCACTGCAAGCTCCGCCTCCCGGGTTTACGCCATTCTCCTGCCTCAGCCTCCTGAGTAGCTAGGACTACAGGCGCCCGCCACCGCGCCCGGCTAATTTTTTGTATTTTTAGTAGAGACAGGGTTTCACCGTGGTCTCGATCTCCTGACCTTGTGATCCGCCCGCCTCGGCCTCCCAAAGTGCTGGGACTACAGGCGTGAGCCACCGCGCCCGGCCCTCTTAGCTTCTCTTTTATCCATTTAGTACTTTGTGGCAGGCAGCTTGGGAGGAGGTGGGGGAGGCACAGTGAGAAGGGCAGGAGCCGCCGCCCTGGGGGTCCAGGAGGGGATGGGGGCTGTGCTGTGCTGAGCGGCTGTGCCGAGGAGCCTGGAGGAAGGCAGCCGGAGCCAGGATGAAGGGATGGGAAGAATGTAGCAGACCCCGAAGCAGTTTTCTGTAGCCAGACGGGACGCTGTCCCCAGGGGCTGTGCTTGCGTCTGGGATACAGCGCCCCAGGATCTGCTGAGCCCGTGGGCCGCCAAGGCAGGTGCTGCTTCAGCGCTGCCTCCGAGGAAGAAGGCCCGCTCGGTCCGCGAGCACCCATTCTTGAGGCGTCTGCACATGTGACTCATGGGGTCTCCGTGGGTCTCTCTGAAACCCCAGAACAGTTTCTCGAAAGAGCAGCCACATAGACACCAGAGGCAGAGGCATTTGGGATTGATCTGTGCTCGAAGTTCAGGGTCTAGGGCTGTCGTGGGCCCCCTCGTGGACTCCTTCGTGGACACTCTGGGCCTCTTCTAATGCCAGCCTCCAAGGGCCTGGCTGTAAGATTGAGATTTGTCTGTGCTGTGCGAGTTGCTGAAGCGCCACGGGCTTTGCGTCAGCAGGTGCGTCCTGGATGCTGGCTTGGAGGCGTGGTTCCGGGGGACATCCAGGGCCAGGACTGGGGTACCACGAACCTGGATGCTGGCACGAACCTGGATGCTGGCACGAACCTGGATGCTGGCTTGGAGGCGTGGTTCCGGGGGACGTCCAGGGCTGGGGTTGGGGTACCACGGGCCTGGATGCTGGCTTGGAGGCGTGGTTCCGGGGGACGTCCAGGGCTGGGGTTGGGGTACCACGGGCCTGGATGCTGGCTTGGAGGCGTGGTTCCAGGGGACATCCAGGGCCAGGACTGGGGTACCACGAGCCTGGATGCTGGCTTGGAGGCGTGGTTCCGGGGCATGTCCAGGGCCAGGACTGGGGTACCACGGGCCTGGATGCTGGCTTGGAGGCGTGGTTCCGGGGGACGTCCAGTGCTGGGGTTGGGGTACCATGGGCCTGGATGCTGGCTTGGAGGCGTGGTTCCGGGGGACGTCCAGTGCTGGGGTTGGGGTACCATGGGCCTGGATGCTAGCTTGGAGGCGTGGTTCTGGGGGACGTCCAGGGCCAGGATTGGGGTACCATGGGCCTGGATGCTGTTAAGTGGGGAGGAAGAACTTAAGTTCAGAAGGAATGGCACTTCTGTATGGGGGTTTTTTAGTATCTGGTCCCAGAAAGTGTGTTACATTTTCTCCTTCTCCTTCCAGGTAATTCCTGAAGATGGCAGAAGCTCACCAAGCTGTAGCCTTTCAGTTCACGGTCACTCCGGATGGGATCGACCTGCGGCTGAGCCATGAAGCTCTTAGACAAATCTATCTCTCTGGACTTCATTCCTGGAAGAAGAAGTTCATCCGATTCAAGGTTTGCTGAGATGTGTTGAAATCTACACAGTATGCCTTTTAATGTCTAAGAACGGGGCTCTTGCAGCGATTGAGGTCTACGTGTTTCAGACTGGCGATTGCATATCACTTACCTATTTCCACGGTACTTAAGGCTTGGGGACACCGTTACATAGACTTTAGCTCACTGGATGCTTGGAGCAGCTCCATTAGGCAGGTAGAGGGAGTTGGCATGCTCTAAAGCAGGCTGGGAAATCGAGGCTCAAAGGGCCAGCGACCTACTTAATAGAAGGCAGAGTAAAGACTAGAATTCACATCTTCTGTCTGAGTCAGAATCCTTTGCACCTTGTTCAAAAAGGATTTTTTCTGGGCCAGGTGCAGTGGCTCACACCTGTAATCCCTGCACTTTGGGAAGCTGAGGTGGGCGGATCGCTTGAGCTCAGGAGTTTAAGACCAGCCTGGGTGACACGACAAAACCCCATCTCTACAAAAAATACGAAAATTAGGCAGGTGCATTGGCATGCATCTGTAGTCCCAGCTACTCAGGAGGCTGAGATGGGAGGATCGCTTGAACCTGAGAGGCAGAGACTGCAGTGAACCATGATTGAGCCACCACACTCCAGCCTGGGCAACAGAGTGAGACTTTGTCTCAAAAAAAATTTTTTTTTTTTTCCAAACTTCAGCAAGTAGATGTAATAATTACTTCGTTGATAAAACATTCACATACTAGAAACTCTCCACATAAGGGCCAGGCATGGTGGCTCATGCCTGCAATCCCAGCACTTTGGGAGGCCAAGGTGGGTGGATCACAAGGTCAGGAGATTGAGACCATCCTGGCTAACACGGTGAAACCCCGTCTCTACTAAAAAACACAAAAAATTAGCCGGGCGTGGTGGCAGACGCCTGTAGTCCCAGTTACTTGGGAGGCTGAGGCAGGAGAATGGCCTGAACCCGGGATGTGGAGCTTGCAGTGAACCGAGTTCGCGCCACTGCACTCCAGCCTGGGTGACAGAGCGAGACTCCGTCTCAAAGAAAAAAGAAAAGAAACTCTCCACATAAGTTCAAATATAGTCGAGTTGACATGTTCTCAATTCTGTTTATCTAAAGAAGTGGAACTCTGTTCTTTTTTAAGCAAGTATCTTGTTTTTCCATGTATTTTCATTTATTTTAAACATCATAGAAGGAATAAGTGCATGTTTGAAAACACGCAAACTAGATGAAAGTTCATCAAGTCGAAAGTGGACGCCCCCGCCGACCCCCGCCAGCCCCAGCAGGAGCTCAGTTCAGTTTGTGGACTTCCCAGTGCTCCGTCTCTGAGGGCGGCACTGAAGTGGGCCACTGAGAAAGCCCTGAGCTCAAGAGTGGGTGGCAGCAGGGACGGCAGGGAGGTGGGCGAGCCCCTGGGAGCCAGCACAGCTGCACAGGTGTCCCTGGGGCTCAGCCTGTGGATGCTTGGGCCCAGATAAATAACCCACCAAGGCCGGGCGCGGTGGCTCAAGCCTGTAATCCCAGCACTTTGGGAGGCCGAGACGGGCGGATCACGAGGTCAGGAGATCGAGACCATCCCGGCTAACACGGTGAAACCCCGTCTCTACTAAAAAATACAAAAAACTAGCCGGGCGAGGTGGCGGGCGCCTGTAGTCCCAGCTACTCGGGAGGCTGAGGCAGGAGAATGGTCTAAACCCGGGAGGCGGAGCTGGCAGTGAGCTGAGATCCGGCCACTGCACCCCAGCCTGGGCGACAGAGCAAGACTCTGTCTCAAAAAAAAAAAAAAAAACCAAGGCGACATCCAAGATGTCACTGAGGCACTAGCTCGGCTCGCCGAGGGCTGCTCTTTTTCACCTTGGAATCTGGGAAAATAGAAGCTCAGATGCAGAGGCTTGGCCATCATATTCAACCCAGTGGGAATGTTGTTCTCCCCCTCCCCTCCCCTCTCCTCTTTTTTTTTTTCTTTTTTTGAGACAAGGTCTTGCTCTGTTGCCCAGAGTGGAGTGCAGTGGTGTGATCACGGCTCCCTGTAGCCTCACTGGGCTCAGGCAATCCTCCTGTCTCATCCTCCCGAGTAGCTGGGATCATAGGTGCACACCACCACGCCCGGCTATTTTTTTTTTTTTTTTTTGAGACAGAGCCTCACTCTGTTGCCCAGGCTGGAGTGCAATGGCGCGACCTTGGCTCACTACAACCTGCGCTTCCCGGGCTCAAGCAATTCTTCTGCTTCAGCCTCCTGAGTAGCTGGGACTACAGGCGCCCGCCACCACACCTGGCTAAGTTTTTGTATTTTTAGTAGAGACAGTATTTCACCATGTTGGCCAGGCTGGTTTCAAACTCCTCACCTCAAGTGATCTGCCCGCCTCAGCCTCCCAAAGTGCTGGGGTTACAGGCATGAGCCGCCTCACCTGGTCTGCTTTGGTCATTTTTAATCCATTACCTTGGTCAAATCAATATCCTATTAGGATGGTTTAGTAAGAATGTTTTTTAATTGGAGTTGTCAAACATACACAAGAGCGAAGAGGACTGATTACAGATAGATCCCCACCGTTCACTTCCTTGTTCAACAATTTTGCCAATTTCGTTTGATATAATCCTTTTTTTTTTTTTTTTGGCTGGAGTATTTTACAGCAAATTCTCAACATGGAGTGAGGCCTCCCATGAAATCTTCAAGGTTAAGCAGCCTTCTGACACAGGGGCGGCAAGAGGGGCAGTTTTGGAGCTGGGGTCTCAGGGCATTCTAGACAGTAGCAGGCTAGGGACAGGACATCATGGTGGCTCAGTGACATCCTTCACCAGCTAAACTAGTACCTGGGCTGATTCTCATGTCCTGGGGTGTCCACTCTTGGGGAAGCTTTCAGGGTGGGTTTTGGCTCAGAAGTAGTGGAAGGGAGGAAACTGGAACGCCTCAGGCTGTAAACTCTGGGGAGAGTCCCAGCTAGTGGGGTATGGTTTCTTAGTGCACGCACGCTGCCGACACGCTCTTCTCCCTGCCTGCCGACCCAGCAGTCCTGTTGCCGGGGGCCATGAAGTTGCCCTGTGGGTTGTGGGAGGACACCGCTCACGGCCCGTGTGTCTGTCTTTAGAATGGCATCATCACTGGCGTGTACCCGGCGAGCCCCTCCAGTTGGCTTATCGTGGTGGTGGGTGTGATGACAACAATGTATGCCAAGATCGACCCCTCGTTAGGAATAATTGCAAAAATCAATCGGACCCTGGAAACAACGTAAGTAATCCTGTGAAATCTCCGAATGTCTGGGAAGTTACCAATTTTATTGCTGTTTTTATGTCTCTTCAAATGTGATGATTGTCGCTGTTCTGGATTCGACGTGAAGCTCCTGATTCTGTCCTCACGTCGGCTTTCTTCCCGCCTCCTGGGTGGTGCTAAGGTCCCTCTAGGAGTTTGCGGTCCTCTGCGGCCTTTCCTCCGAAGACCAGGGTGAGAAGAGTGGTAGTGGCCCTGGGGCACCCCTTGGAAGGTGTCAGGGCCCGAGGGTTTGGCCAATAGTGACAGTGCCCGTAGCCCAGCCAGTAGGGCTCTGAAACGGAATTTCTGCTCAAGGGCCTGAATCCCCATGTAGTGATTTCTTTGCACTTGGAGTCCGTTCATCCCAGAGTTCTGTGACCCTTGAACTGACTGCTCTGGGGTCCTCTGCAGGGACCTCCCCCACTTAGCTTTCTGTCAGGGTGGTTCAGAAATCTCCAGGGGACCCCCCTGTCACTCCCACCCCTAGGGTTTTGGATTTTCCGGGGGCTTATCTCTCGCTACCAAGAGATAAGGCCCTGAGACACCTTAGGTAACATTCAGCACATGTTCATTTTATTTTTTTTCCAACCACCTGCCGCCTGTTGATGGCACGTGTTTATTGCACGTCTGTGATGCCTGTTATTCCATCCAGTTCTGGAGATGGCCCAGACTCCCGTCTAGGAAGGTCAGGCCCTGCACTGCAGTAACCTCTCATTAGGATCCCTTTTACCAGTGAGGAAGTTTTCAGACAGACGCAGGCGTCTGCCCAAGTCACAGGAAGAGGGAGCGGAAAGCTGGAATTCAAACCCAGCTCTGTGCCAGCTCTGAAATCTGCTTTCTTCAGTGTAGCACTGAGGTCCCCCCACCCCCTGCCCCAGAAGCTTCCGTGAGACAAATGCACGTGAACACCGCTGCTTTATCGCCATTTGAACGTCGAGGCGGTGGAACGCGGGGCGACTCGGCTTCCTCGTGCAGCTGTGACCCTTGCGCTTGGACACACGTTTTCCTTTCTGGTCTGAAAGCTCCATGGTGCCTTGGAAGTGTCCCTGCTGGCCCGTGCCAGGCGTTTGATTCGATTTCTGTGCTGCTTGTTTACACCAACGGCATTTTTGCCATTGGGGCACGGTGGTTCATACCTGTAATCCCAGGACTTTGGGAGGCCGAGGCAGGTGGATCACCTGAGGTCAATAATAGCCGCCAACTCCTCATAATTGGGCTTTGTTTGGGGGCCAGGAGTTGCAGGTGGAAGGCACAATGCCAGGTCAAGGCTAAGCTAAAAATCAAAGCTCTGGATCTTCATAGTCATGCCTTGCGGGTTGTTTGCATGTAAATATTGTTTAATCAGCAAGAAATAAGAAAATAAACTGGCAGAAAAAGGGACATAACTGAAAACTCACTCACAGTTAACGGCTGAATTTGATTTTTTTTTTTTTTTTTTTTTGAGATGGAGTTTTTCCTCCGTTGCCCAGGCTGGGGTGTGATGGTGCTATCTCGGCTCACTGCAACCTCCACCTCCTGGGTTCAAGCAATTCTCCTGCCTCAGCCTCCTGAGTAGCTGGGATTACAGGGGCCCACGACCACGCCTGGCTAATTTTTGTATTTTTTGTAGAGATGAGGTTTCACCATGTTGGCCAGGCTGATCTGAACTATTGACCTCAGGTGATCCACCCGCCTCGACCTCCCGAAGTGCTGGGATTACAGGTGTGAACCACCGTGCCCAGCCTTGATTCTGCTGACTAGAAAGAAAAGATTAAGCAGATTAATGGTCTGAATCTCCTGATGACAGCCTGAGCAGGTACCCTGATTCCTGCCTCTTTTTGCGAAGGGTCTGCAGAGGACCCCTTCACATCCTGTTCCTTCTCCAGGAAGCCCTGGACCCTCCAGAGCCACTGAGCGTCCAGCTGAGTTGCCTGCAACCTTGAGGTAGCTCAGGATCGCTGGCTCAGGCCTCTGTACGTGTCTGCAAGAGACAGAATCAAAGTTCCCAGTCATTTTAACAGAAGCATGCCTGGCTGGGATGCCTGCCAGGTTCCTTGTCTGCCTGGGGACTGCTGTCACTGCTGTCACTCAGAAAGCAGTTGGCAGACCTGGGCACTCGGGGCAGGCCTGGCTGCTCTCTTCCTTGAGGTCCCAGGGCCCACAGGCCTGCAGTGGATAGCCGCCTCTGAGCCTTGTGTGTGGAGCTGTTCCTTCATACTTTTCATTCTCTCGTGGGGTTAATGAAGATCTTTTCTTTTTCTTTTTGAGATTGATTTCCACTCTGTCCCCCAGGCTGGAGGGCAGTGGTGCGATCTCGGCTCACTGCAGCCTCCACCTCCCGGGTTTAAGTGATTCTCCTGCCTCAGCCTCTTGAGTAGCTGGGACTGCAGGCACACGCCACCACGCCCAACCAAATTTTGTATTTTTGGTAGAGATGGGGTTTCGCCGTGTTGGCCAGGCTGGTCTTGAACTCCTGATCTCAAGTGATCCACCCGCGTCGTCCTCCCAGAGTGCTGGGATTACAGACATGAGCCACTGAGCCCGGGCCAGATCTTTAATTTACTCTCTAGTGTAGGCTTTCTCTTAAAACTGGATTATATTTAGAAGTGTTGACTGTTTAAAGCTCTTAATAATCTGGGTCTTTGTAAGATTTGTTTCTTTGTACCTCTTAAACCTATTTTGGTAAACTAGGCCATCCCTGGCCTAAATTTAGAAAGGCCGGGTTAAGGGCCAGCGTCTTCCAGCCTCATGGGCCATTCCAGAGCTGCTGTCCTGGAGGGGACTTACAGATTCTCTGGGCCGCTGCCTTCAAAACTGGAGTCAGGCTGGGCGCGGTGGCCTGTAATCCCAGCACTTTGGGAGGCCGAGGCAGGAGGATTGCTTGAGCCCAGGAGTTCAAGACCAGCCTGAGCAACATAGTGAGACCCTATTTCTTAAAAAAAAAAAAAAAAAAAAAAAAAAACAGAGTAAAAAAGTGGAGTCATACGTGTTATGTGGGGTTTGTCTCTGAGTCTGTCCCCAACAGCCTTGCAAGGAGCATGTCCTTTCAAAGAAAGCTTTTTGCTAACGTTTTTTATCTAAGTGCCTATATGTCTATATTTTTAAAAATCTTGACTGTGTCATTTATTTGTTTATGCTAAAATATTTTTATTTTTGCAAATCAAGTAAGTAAGTATATAGGTCTTTTTCTTTCAGTAATCTAAAATGTAGATTATCTAAAAGCTGGCTTCTGAAATCCCTAAACCCAAGTTTGCTGATAGGTTAGATGACCAGAAAAGAGCGTATAGGTTTAAAAAAGAGACTACAGTTAAACTCCAGTGCTAGACTTCACGGGTTATAGAAATATATACATTTTGGAGCAAGAGTATGTAACCTTGAAGATAATTTGTTTTTGTCCACTTAAATATTATGCAGTGTTCAATTAGTGGTTTTCTTTTTTTTTATTTCTTATTTTGAATTATTTTATTTTCTTATTTACATTTTATTTTTATATTGATGGGGTTTTGCCATGTTGCCCAGGCTGGTCTTGAACTCCTGGACTCAAGTGATCCACCCATCTCGGCCTCCCAAAGTGCTGGGATTATAGACTTGAGCCACTGCACCTGGCCAAATTAGTGCTTTTCAAATATTGGGGATACCTTTAGGTTATATATATTGGTGTTTTAATCATTTGAAGCATGCTTAGTTTTTACTTAAAAAATATTTTGCAGTTACCAAAACTAAAACAAACCACAAAATAGCTGCATTTCTGGCCAGGCACAGTGGCACACACCTATAATCCCAGCACTTTGGGAGGCCGAGGCAGGTGGATCACCTGAGGTCAGGAGTTCAAGACCAGCCTGGGCAACATGGCAAGACCCCATCTCTACAAAAATACAAAAATTAGTTGGATGTGGTGGTACACACCTGTAATCCCAGCTATTCGGGAGGCTGAGGTGGGAAAATTGCTTGAACCTGGGAGGTGGAGGTTGCAGTGAGCCAAGATCACCACTGCACTCCAGCCTGGGCAACAGAGCGAGACTCTGTCTCAAAAAAAAAAAAAAAAAGTCGCATTTTGTCTCATTTTTAAAGTCCCATCTTTACCATAATATGTACTACCTTCCTTCACAAACAAAAACATTTCCTGTATTTAAGTTAAATATTTACATGACTGTTTCACACAGTCTGTTTCTTTATTCGTGTTAAGTACTCCTAAGTCAAAAACAAGCTCTTTTAATATAAATACTGGAGGTAATAGTTGTAACAAAATAATTTGAGATTACGATTACATCTAAAAGTAAGTTTGGGAGTAAAAAATTCATAAAGAGCTGAAGAAAGTGGCCCAGAATCTCTTGCTCACCTGCCGGGGAGGCACAAGTCTGCAGGGCATGGCTCTCGCGGTGGCCAGGTCCCGGCCTCACAGCATCCCCCCTGCTGTTGGTCCAGAGGTCCTGGAGGAAGCTGTGTCTTTTTCCAGATGACAGAAATTGGCCCTGGTCGGTTTCAAGGCCACCAGAGCAGATCAGGCTGAAGGGACCTGTGGGAAGAGAGCAGACAGGCCTGCCCCGGACACCCGGGTCTGCCGGCTACTTTCGGCGTGATTGGTTTTGGGGTGAGGAGGAGAGAGTCCGTGAGTGTTTTAAGAGCTCGGTTCCTGCAAGTGTTCTCCCTCTGACTTTCCCGGCTCTACATGGGGCAGGCTGCTGGACACTGAAGCACGTGGTGTCTGTGGCGTCACCGGTGGCGTTCGTTGGCACCGTGCGACCTCACACACAGCCTCCCTTGTCTGGGTCTGTCTCCGCAGTGACTGCATGTCCAGCCAGACAAAGAACGTGGTCAGCGGCATGCTGTTTGGCACCGGGCTGTGGGTGGCCCTCATCGTCACCATGCGCTACTCCCTGAAGGTGCTGCTGTCCTACCACGGGTGGATGTTCACTGAGCACGGCAAGATGAGTCGCGCCACCAAGATCTGGATGGTAATTGTGCATCCCTCTGGCAGTGGAGTGGGGGTAGATGGTTTGGGCTTTGGAAAGAAGGACACCTCTGGGACCTTTTCTCCCTTGATGCTTGGTTGGTGACCTGGGCCTCAACCTTGAATGGCTGGAGAGGTTTGAATCACCATGACACAAAAGCGGGGGCCGAAGAGTGCTTCTCTTTCGTGACGTTAGTGAGATCTGCAGCGTGTTTTATTGAGGTCTGCTGGGTTTGTAGTTCAGGTCATTCATCAAATAAAAGTGCTGTCCATCCAGTTCTTTGTAGCGTTCTTGACTCACTTGTTGTCAGGCATTAAATGGTTACCTTAGCTGACCCCTCGGACAGGCTCCCGTGACTCGGACTTAGCTTCTGGAATGTTCCCCCAGCTTGCCTTGGCCCTTAGCCCAAGGGTCCTTGATTTAAGGTCATGGCTTTGCCATATATGTGGATGCTTGTCCAAATTTCATGATTTAAATGTTTTTCTTTTTTATTTTTATTTCATTTTTATTTTTTTGAGATGGAGTTTCACTCTTGTTGCCCAGGCTGGAGTGCAACGGTGCGATTTCAGCTCACTGCAAACTCGGCCTCCCAGGTTCAAGCAGTTCTTCTGCCTCAGCCTCCCAAGGTGCTGGGATTACGGGCATGCACCACCAATACGCCTGGCTAATTTTGTATTTTTAGTAGAGACAGGGTTTTACCATGTTGCTCAGGCTGGTCTTAACTCCTGACATCAGGTGATCCTGCCTTGGCCTCTCAAAGTGCTGGGATTACAGGTGTGAACCACCACACCCAGCTTTTTTTTTTTTCTTTTTGAGACAGGGTCTTGCTCCATTGCCCAGCCTGGAGTGCAGTGGCACAATCACAGCTCACTGCAGCCTCGACTTCCTAGGCTCAAGTGATTTTCCCACCTCAGCCTCCTGAGTAGCTGGGACTATAGGCGCACACCACCATGGCTGGCTAATTTTTGTATTTTTAATAGAGACGGGGTTTCGTTGGCCAGGCTGGTCTCAAACTCTTGAGCTCAAGTGATCTGCCCACCTCGACCTCCCAAAGTGTTGGGATTACAGGCATGAGCCATCAAACCCGGGCTCAATTTAAATGTTTTTGTGGGAGCTGGGCATGGTCACTCATGGCTGTAATCCCAGCACTTTTGGAGGCCAAGCCTGGTGAACCACCTGAGCTCAGGAGTTTGAGACCAGCCTGGAGAACATGGCGAAACCCCATCTCTACTAAAAATACAAAAATTAGCCAGGCAAATTAGCCAGGCGTGGTGGTGCATGCCTGTAATCCTAGCTACTCAAGAGGCCAAGGTGGGAGGATTGCTTGAGCCCAGGAGGTCAAGGCTGCAGTGAGCTGTGGTTGCGTCCAGCCTAGGTGACAGAGCCAGACCCTGTCTCAAAAAAAAAAAAAAAAAATTATGGCCTTAGTTTTTCTGAAAATAAACCCTCCAAGATGGGCATCATCTCTGGACTTTCAAGGCCTCTGTCTGGGGGCTGGGGCCCCTGTGACCCCCTGCAGGCGGGCATGTGCCCCATGTACCATCTGCCCATTGTAGTCATGGCCCTGGGCCTTGGGCTTTGCTCAGCACCTCAAGCCCAACCTGGGTCTTTGGGGCTGGACATGTGTAAAGAAACATCTGGTTTATTCACCCCTGTCTTGCCAAGTGGCCTAAATGGTTCTAATGGACCAGGTAATCATGAGAAAATTTTCTGCAGAATCTTTCTCGAATGAGGCTGCTCCATGGGTCTGCCTGTGTATATGAAGCCGTGGGTCTGCTTTGGTTTTTTGTCTGCCCCGACCTTGGCCCCGGGGCCCTTCTGCTCGGTTGCCTCTGGGTAGCCCCCACAGTGGTGCCTGCCTGGACTGGGCTACTGTCCCAACCTCTGGGGAAGCCTTGTAAGAGAAGTGTGGGAGTCACCGCAGTGCCCACCACATACTGGGACTCCACTCTTGCCAAACAAAAATTTTTTTTTTTTTTTGAGACAGCAGCTTGCTCTGTCACCTAGGCTGGAGTGCAGTGGTGCAATCTCGGCTCATTACAACCTCCACCTCCCGGGCTCAAGCGATTCTCTCACCTCAGCGTCCACAGTAGCTGGGACCACAGGCACACACCACCACGCCTGGATAATTTTTTGTATTTTTTTTTTTTTTTGAGACGGAGTCTCGCTCTGTAGCCCAGGCTGGAGTGCAGTGGCCAGATCTCAGCTCACTGCAAGCTCCGCCTCCCGGGTTTACGCCATTCTCCGGCCTCAGTCTCCCGAGTAGCTGGGACTACAGGCGCTCGCCACCTCGCCCGGCTAGTTTTTTTTTTGTATTTCTTAGTAGAGACGGGGTTTCACCGTGTTAGCCAGGATGGTCTCGATCTCCTGACCTCGTGATCCGCCCGTCTCGGCCTCCCAAAGTGCTGGGATTACAGGCTTGAGCCACCGCACCCGGCCAATTTTTTGTATTTTTAATAGAGACGGGGTTTCGCCATGTTGGCCAGGTGATCTCGAGTTCCTGGGCTCAAACGATCCAGCCTCCTCGGCCTCCCAAAGTACTGGGATTACAGGCGTGAGCCCCCGCACCCAGTCAAACCAATTTTTTCTCTCAAATCAGTTTCTGCCATTTGGATATAAAGTTTCTGATTTCTAGAGAAGCAGAATTTAACACCTAGAAGAGATTCGGGTGGTTCCCACACTTGGCAAAGCAGGCTAAAGGGCACTCCCTCCGGTGGGTTCGCAGCTGAGGTTCAGCTGAGTCCCAGCGCCCTGCGGTACCAGGACTCCCCACCTGGGCCCGAGGACTGCCTTTGTTTTGGTCGGCATTGAGGTGACTGGTTATTATACAGACTTGATCATCCAGCCTAAAACCAAGGGCCACAAATGTGCCCTCTGGGAGGCTTGGCAATGACTGAAGGAAGGACGCTGCTTCCCCTCAGCTTGGCTCAGGGTCAGGCACGTTGACCCTCCTCACTGCTCCTAGAGCCTGGAGCCCATCCCTAAACTAAGGGCCTTGCAGAAGGAGGTGGGGTGAGACTCACCCTAGGTGCAGAAGCACAGTTCGGGTCCTGGCTAGTCACGATGCTGGCAGCGACATCTCACGGCCTCCGTCAGGCTTGGCTTTGATTCCACGTGGTTTGTTTGTTTGTTTGTTTTTGTTTTGTTTTTGTTTTTTGTTTTGTCTCACTGTGTCGCCCAGGCTGGAGTGCAGTGGGGTGATCACGGTTCACCGCAGCATCACCCTCCCAGGCTCAATCAATCCTTTCGCCTCAGCCTCCCAAGTAGCTGGGACAACAAGCACATGCCACCACGCCTGGCTAATTTTTTGTGTTTTTTTTTGTAGAGATGGGGTTTTGCCATGTTGCCCAGGTTTTTATTGGCATGGAGGGCGGGGTTATATGCTTATTTGCTAGAACCCGTAAGTATGGGGCGGGTAAAAGATGGACCAGATGAAAAATAAATCGACACAGAAAATCAGTAAGTGGTTGGCATGTTGTGCACACTGGAAAAGTGGCTTTGGATCTTTAACACAGCCTTGTCTTTGAAATTGTAATTCTCACATCCAAGTACTAACCAGGCGCGACCCTGCTTAACTTCTGAGATCAGACAAGAACGGGTGCGTTCAGGGTGGTATGGCAGTAGACTGAAAATATAATTCTCTCTCTTCAGGGTATGGTCAAGATCTTTTCAGGCCGAAAACCCATGTTGTACAGCTTCCAGACATCGCTGCCTCGCCTGCCGGTCCCGGCTGTCAAAGACACTGTGAACAGGGTAGGTGTGGCTTAGGCTTCACACTGAAATGTCAGCCATCTGTGGATTAAGGCTTAGGTCTTAATTATGATGAACTAGGTCACCGTCATTTGACTCAAGTAGCCTTCAGTGGTGTGCCTGGTAGGGTTCTCATAGGAAGTCTTTTTTTTTTTTTTTCCAATGCATCACTGCTGCATCTTAGGTGATTTTTTTAAAGTTTTAAGTTTCATAGAGAAGCTGCTTGGTGCATTTTTTAAAGCTTTATTTTATTTTTATTTTTATTTAATTTTATTTTTTTTGCGATGGACTCTCCCTCTGTCATCCAGGCTGGAATGCAATGGTGTAATCTCAGCTCACTGCAACCTCCACCTCCTGGGTTCAAGTGATTCTCCTGCCCCAGCCTCCCAAGTAGCTAGAATTACAGGCACCCGCCACCATGCCCGGCTAATTTTTGTATTTTTAGTAGAGACAGGGTTTTGCCATGTTGGCCAGGCTGGTCTCGAACTCCTGACCTCAAGTGATCCACCCGCCTTGGCTTCCCAAAGTTCTGGGATTACAGGCGTGAGCCACTGCGCCCGGCCAGTTTTTGCTATTTTACATAATTGCTAAATACAACATTGTATGAAATGATTGCAGTCACTCCCCATTCTTCCCTCCCCCCATCTAGTAACTTCTATTCTACTTTCTGTCTCTGTGGATTTGCCAATCTGAGGGACCTCATATAAGTGGCATCATATCATATTTGTCCTTCTGTGACTAGCTTCTCTCACTCAGCATAATGTCTTCAAGGTTCATCCACATAGCAGCCTGTGTCAGAATTTCCTTCTTTCTTACGGCTGAATAGTATTCCATTGTACGGCTAGACCATATTTTATTTATCCATTCATCTGTTGCTGGGTGGTGAATGTTTTTGATCTGATTGGTGAGGGTCCTCCAGCTGAGGGTGGGGTGATCATCAGCCTCCAGCTGGTCTGAAGGCAGTTGCTTCTTGACACCCCAGGCCCCTAGGGGCAAGGCACTACCTAGAAAGCCTGTCATTTCATCCTCAAAACTACTCATTTCTTTTTCTTTTTTTTTGAGACAGGGTCTTGCTCTGTTGCCCAGGCTAGAGTGCAGTGGTGCAATCTTGGCTCACTGCAGCCTTGATCTCCTGGGCTCAGATGATCCTCCCGCTTCAGCCTCCTGAGTAGCTGGGACTACAAGTGCGTGCCACCACACATGGCAATTTTTTTTTTTTTTGAGATAGAGTCTTACTCTGTCACCCAGGCTGGAGTGCAGTGGTGTGATCCTGGCTCACTGCAAGCTCCGCCTCCTGGGTTCATGCCATTCTCCTGCCTCAGCCTCCTGAGTAGCTGGGACTACAGGTGACCACCACCACACTGGGCTAATTTTTTTGCATTTTTAGTAGAGACGGGGTTTCACCATGTTAGCCAGGATGGTCTCGATCTCCTGACCTTGTGATCCCCCTGCCTTGGCCTCCCAAAGTGCTGGGATTACAGGCATGAGCCACCATGCCTGGCCCTATTTTTTTTTTTTTTTTTTTTTTGTGGAGAGGGAGTTTCACTATCTTGTCCAGGCTGGCGTTGGACTCCTGGGCTCAAGTGATCTACCTGCTTTGGTCTTTTTTTTTTTTTTTTCTTTAATTGAACAAAAGGGGAGGGAGCAGTTCCATTTCTTTCTTTTTGAAAAAATTATGGTAAAATGTGCACAACATGAATTGTACTGTTTTAACCATTTTCAAGTGTACGGTTCAGGGGCACTAAGTACATTTATAATGTCACGCAGCCCTCACTGCTGTCTCATTCCAGGACCTTTCATCACCCAGAAGCTCATAGCCCTGTCCTTCTACTTCCCTCTCCCAGCCCCTCGGAACCACTAATCTCCTGTTTGTCTCTATGGATTTGCCTGTTCTGGACATTTCACATAAATGGAATCATGTGGCCTTTTGTGACTGGCATGTCATTAAGGTTCACCTGTGTTGTAGCGTGGATGAACTTCATCCCTTTTTGTGACTGAATAATATTCCGTTGTATGGAAGGACCACAGTGTATTGACCTGTTCACCCGCCGTTGGGGACATAGCCAGGAGCGGAATTGCTGGGTCGTGGGAATTCCGTGGTAACTTGTTGAGGAACTACCAGACCCTCACGCAGCTCCACCATTTTGCATTCTAACCAGCAGTGCATGGGTGCTTTCGTTTTTGCACATCCTGGGACCCCATTTTAAAAACTATAATAAGCAGAAACTTCTCGGGGTAAGGGTTTGAATCCAGGATTGGTTACTGAGTCCCTGAGGGTTTGAATCCAGCCTTGGTTATTGAGTCCCTGTTAGCCTTGGTAAGTTTCTTCCCATCTCTGCTCTTTTTTTTGTTGTTGTTGTTTTTGTTTTTGCTCTGTCACCCAGGTTAGGGTGCAGTGGTGTGATCTCAGCTCACTGCAGCCTCCATCTCCCAGGTTCAAACAATTCTCCTGCCTCAGTCACCCGAGTAGCTGGAATTACAGGTGTGTGCCACCACGCCTCGCTTATTTTTGTATTTTTAGTAGAGACAGGATTTCACTATGTTGGCCAGGCTGGTCTCAAAACTCCTGACCTCAAGTGATATGCCCACCTCGGCCTCCAAAAGTACTGGAATTACAGGTGCAAGCCACCGTGGCTGACCTACCCCATCTCTCCTCTTCTGTACCCACACTTGCGAATCAGGGCTGACAACAGCCCCTGTTCCACTGGCAGGGTGGGGTGAGGGTGAGATGCTTGACCTTCAGTGACCTCTGTCTGTGTTGCGTAGCTCAGGGTTCCACTTCAGCTCATTCAGGGCATGATTTTCTGTCTCATTCACGGGCATTTTACTTTGAATAAGCCTCAATATGCTTGACAACTGTTCCACGCCCTTTCTGTGGGAGACAGAGTCTCACTCTCTTGCCCGGGCTGGAATGCAGTGACACTGTCCTAGCTCACTGCAGCCTTGAATTCCTGGCCCAAGTGATCCTCCTGCCTTAGCCTCCCAAGTAGTTGGGGCCACAGGTGTGCACCACTATGCCTGCAAATATTTTTTTGTAGAGATGGGGTCTTGCCATGTTGCCCAGACTGGTCTTGAACTCCTGGGCTCAAACAGTCCTCCTGATTCAGCCTCCCAAAGTGCTGGGGTTACAGTCATGAGCCACCGTACCTGGCCACAGCTGGCCCTTGTAAGGGAGTGGGGTCTTACTTTCCAATGTACAGGGAGGGACCCTAGAGAGATTACTGTTTCACCAAGACTTTGGTTTTTACAGCAGACAACTTGTTGGATTAAAATATTTCATGGCAAATTGTGGGGTTAGCAACAGTTTTTACTTTTTGTTGCTGTTGTTGGGGGAGACAGCGTCTCGCCCAGGCTGGAATGCAGTGATGTGATCATGGCTTACTGCAGCTTTGAACTCCTAGGCCCAAGTGATCCTCCCACCTCAGCCTTCCAAGTAGCTGGGACCACAGACATGTGCCGCCACGCCCAGCTAATTTTTGTATTTTTTTTTTTTTTTTTTGCAGAGACGGGGTCTCACTCTGTTGCCCAGGCTGGTCTTGAACTGGTCAAGATTGCTTGGGCTCAAGCACTCTTCACATGTCAGCTTCTCAAAGTGCTGGGATTACAGGTGTAAGCTACCGCACCTGACCAGTGTCACTTTCTGTAAGAGCTTGCTTAGGTGTGTGGCAGAAGCTTTTGAGTGTCTTTTTAAACAATTGCTCTCTGTGTTTCCATCTCTGAGCATTTGTTCAACCAAAGTAGCACATGTAAAAGGATGAGGTGGGGTGGGGGCTGAAAACCCTGAACCTGAGGCCCTGGCCTTGGCCTGGTTCTGAGACCTATTCCAGCCCCTCCTTCCCATCCTGCTGCCTGAGCACCTGCCCAGCCCCAGCACCTAGCTCTCAGCATGACTCTGCCCCATCTCGTAGTCACCATCACAGGTCATCAAAGCTTAAGTCAGAACAGCTCTTTTATTAAGGGCCAAATAATACATAAGAGACATTCTTGAAATTTCCTTGTTAACTTTTCTTGTCAATTCTAGAATTTATTTTAAATTCTAAAAATTTAATGGTGGCTTTCTGGTGATGCAGGATTTGGGACACTTTTAAAACTAATAAAGGAAGAAAAAGTTTAATTGTTAAATTATTGTTACTCTATGACACCATTTAGCATTGAAGGGAGTTAACCTGTCTAAGGACTGCTAAGACCAACTTGGGGGAAGAGTCTAAACTTTTTTTTTTTGAGATAGGGTCTCACGCTGTTTCCCAGGCTGAGGTGCAGTGGCGTGATCATGGCTCACTGCAGCCTCGACCTTCTGGGCTCAAGTGATCCTCCCACCTCAACCCCTCACATATCTGGGACCACAGACATGCACCACCATGCCCAGCTAATTTTTGTCTTGTTTTTTGTAGAGATGGGGTTTCACCATATTGCCTAGGCTGGTCTTGAACTCCTGAGCTCAAGCAATCCACTGGCCTTGACCTCCCAAAATGCTGGGATTACAAGCATGAGCCACCATGCCCAGCCTAAAACCTCTTCAATGTGTTAGAACTTTTCCTAAGGCACAGGTGAGGCAACCATAGGCTTTGATTAATGTGTTTTAACTTGGGTGATTTTTTTTTCCCCGATAATCCCAGTATCTAGAGTCGGTGAGGCCTCTTATGAAGGAAGAAGACTTCAAACGGATGACGGCACTTGCTCAAGACTTTGCTGTCAGTCTTGGACCAAGACTACAGTGGTATTTGAAGTTAAAATCCTGGTGGGCTACAAATTACGTAAGTCTGTATACACAGTTTTTCTTGATGAAATTTTTCTGTATGAAGATGCTAATTCTGAGGGACAGGGATAACAGGGCTGAAACGACAGCTGTGATTAGCCAAAATCACACCTTAGGAAGTTCCAGCTATGGTTTACCTGCATGCAGCATGGGGTGTGTGTATTAGGACTGACGTGTAGTTACAGTGACAGTTTCTTGGTTTTGGGATTTTTTGTAGAGACAGGGTCTCACTATGTTGACCAGGCTGGTCTCAAACTCCTGGGCTCAAGTGATCTTCCCACCTTGGCCTCCCAAAGTGCTGGGATCACAGGCATGAGCCACCACACCCAGCCTACAGTGACAGTTTTACCCCGAGTGCAGGTGCATCATCGCAATGCTGTGTTTTGCGCACAGGAGCCCTCTCCCCCTCCCTCTTCCCCGGGGATTCCTCTTGTGAGCTGTTTCTCCTGCAGCAGTGCCATGCTGCCCCGGACTCCTGCTCCTATCCTCCTCTTTAGTTTATTTTTATTCCAAGGCATCCTTCCCGAGCTCGCTGGTGGATGCAGGGATGGTGTGGGATGCTTGCTGGGATTGAGTGTGGCTCAGTGGTCCCAGGAGCATCTCCTCCCACCAAGTGTCTTAGCTGGTGCCCTGTATGTGGGGAGCTGGCTGGGCTTCCATGTGCTGGGAGGGTGAGAGCAGGCCTCTGGCAGACGAAGCAAGGGAGGGAGTGTAGCTTTGAGGAACAACTAACACGGAAGAGGAGGTGTCCCAAGTGACCCTGACAGAACCAGCAGGTGGTGCAGAAGTCACATCGTGGGTGGATGGGCAGTGCCTGGAGGAGTCTCTCGAGCCTCAGGGGGCCGGGCATGTTCGCTGGCTGCACGGGTGTGCTGGACTGGTAAACGTCAGCCCTCTGCACAGCTCTCTGCACACGAGACCGTTGCATGGCCACTGTTCTGTAGTTACGTGTGTTTCAGCACAAAGCTGAAAAGGAAGCCATCTCTGGGTCCAGCAGGCTGTGAAGGGACAGCAGCTGTGAGGTGGCTGGGGGGCACTGCCCCGGGTAGCTTCAGGATGCATGTGCCAGGGAACAGGGACCACACCTGTGGGACGCCGGGTTAGTGCCACGGCCTAGACTGAGGCGGTGGCTTCTTCAGGGAGACCTGGGAAGCAGGAAGACGAGAAGCAGTCTGTGGAGCAATTTTGCATAACATTGGTTTTTGTTGTTGTTGTTTTGTTTTCTTTTCTTTTTGAGATGGAGCCTCGCCCTGTCGCCGAGGCTGGAGTGCAGTGGTGCGATCCCCCCTCACTGCAAACTCCGCCTCCCAGGTTCAAGTGATTCTCCTGCCTCAGCCTCCTGAGTAGCTGGGATTACAGGCGCCTGCCACCATGCCCAGCTAATTTTTGTATTTTTAGTAGAGATGGAGTTTCATCATGTTGGCCAGGCAGGTTCGGAACTCCTCACCTCAAGTGATCAGCCCGCCTCAGTCTCCCAAAATGCTGGGATTACAGGCGTGAGCCACTGCGCCTGGCCTTTGTTTCTGTTTTCTTTTATTTGAGAAAAGGTCTTGCTCTGTTGCCCAGGCTGGAATACAGTGGCACAATCATAGCTCACTGTTGCCTCGAACCCCTGGGGTCAAGTGACCCTCCTGCCTTAGCCTCCCAAGTAGCTGAGACTCCACGCGTGAGCCACCACACCTGGCTAATTTCTTACATTTTTTTTGGAGAGATGGAACCTTGCAATGTTGCCCAGGCTGGCTTCAAACTCCTGGCATCAAGCGATCCTCCTGTCTTGGCCTCCCAAAGTGCTGAGATTACAGGTGTGAGCCACCATGCCCAGCCCACAGTACTGGTTTTTAGATCATGTTAGCAGTCAAACATTTATGATTTACTTTCCATCTGGTCTTTTAAACATTTTTAAAATTTTTATTTTATTTATTATTTTTATTTTGAATGTAGAGCTAGAGCCTTGCTATGTTATCTAGCCTGGTCTCGAACTCCTCGTTTCAAGCAATCCTCCCACTTCGGCTTTTTTTTTCCCTTTTGAACCATCTACAGATTGAAGGTGATGTACCTTCTTTCTGCTCATCTCAACTTAAAAAGAACACTTTTCGGCCGGGCGCGGTGGCTCAAGCCTGTAATCCCAGCACTTTGGGAGGCCGAGACCGGCGGATCACGAGGTCAGGAGATCGAGACCATCCTGGCTAACCCAGTGAAACCCCGTCTCTACTAAAAAATACAAAAAAAAAAAACTAGCCGGGCGAGGCGGCGGGCGCCTGTAGTCCCAGCTACTCGGGAGGCTGAGGCAGGAGAATGGCGTGAACCCGGGAGGCGGAGCTTGCAGTGAGCCGAGATAGCGCCACTGCACTCCAGCCTGGGCGACACAGCGAGACTCCGTCTCAAAAAAAAAAAAAAAAAAAAAAAGAACACTTTTCGTTTCCCACGGTGTCGCATTCCGTCTGGTTAGGACTGCGTTCCCTGTTCTGGAATGGCCCCCGTTAGATGACAAAATGTCTGCCAAAAGCACTGCCTGCCCTTCCCCGTGGCTCTGGGCTGCTGCCAGGGAGCCTGCCTGGCCCCTGCTGAGCCTGCGGGTTTGTCTGGTGTTTGCGCCCACTAGGTGAGCGACTGGTGGGAGGAGTACATCTACCTCCGAGGACGAGGGCCGCTCATGGTGAACAGCAACTACTATGCCATGGTGAGTGCCCCCGCCCGGGCTGCTGTCTGACGAGGACGGTGGGGCGGCGGGTCTGTCCACAGAGGTGGCGTCTTCACAGGCCTGTGGACGGCCTGGGAAAGCTCTGGGGACTGGCTCATGCTCCTCTCTGTCCTGCTTCCAGGCTGGAGAACCCTGTGAGTACCCTTCAGTATTAGCCTAGTAGCCCAGGGTGCTCTGCTACTGCAGGGGGATTTGGGCTGCAAAAATAAGTTTCTGGCAAACAGGAATTCCTCACTGTGCTATACCTGTCCTGCTGTTTTTTTGTTTTGTTTTGTTTTGAGATGGAGCTTTGCTCTTGTCCACCAGGCTGGAGTGCAATGGCACGATCTTGGCTCACTGCAGCCTCCGCCTCCCAGGTTCAAGTGATTCTCCTGCCTCAGCCTCCCAAGTAGCTGGGATTACAGGTGCCCACCAACATGCCCGGCTAATTTTTGTATTTTTAGTAGAAACGGGGTTTCACCATGTTAGCCAGGCTGGCCTCGAACTCCTGACCTCACGTGATCCGCCAGCTTCAGCCTCCCTAAGTGCTGGGATTACAGGTGTGAGCCACCGTGCCCAGCCTGTCCTGCTGTTTTTATGACTTAGCACTGGAAGTTAGTGCCACAGCAGCCTTAAGATCCCTGCAGAACCCCTAGAGCTCAGGGACAGTGGGTTGGCCAAGATCCTGCCACCAGTGCACTACACTTCACCCTACTGTTTTCTGAGACGCCAAAGGGGTGTGCATCGATGGTAGTTTCTGGTTTCCTGGGCTTTGTCTTTCAAAGCATGGATGGTTAGAAGGCCCCTCAATTTGGGTTCTCGACCAATGCTTTAATAACTGGCAAATAGAACTCTTCTCTTTCCTTTTCCTTCCATTCCTTCACTTCCTTTTATTTTTTTCCCTCATTTATTTTTTATCATTTACTTTTTCTTTTTTTTTCCCTTTTTTTTTTTTTGAGATGGAGTCTTGCTCTGTCGCCGAGGCGGGAGTACAGTGGTACAATTCATCTCACTGCAGCCTCTCCCTCCCCGGTTCCAGCGATTCTCCTGCCTCAGCCTCCCGAGTAGCTGGGATTACAGGCACCTGCCACAACGCCTGGCTAATTTTTGTATTTTTAGTAGAAACGGGATTTCGCCATGTTGGGCAGTCTCATCTCAAACTCCTGACCTCAGGTGATCCATGTGGCTCAGCCTCCCAAAGTGCTGGGAATACAGGCATGAGCCACCACACCCGGCCTATCATTTGCTTTTTCTTTCTGTTTTTCTTCATTTCAAAATTTTCCTTTCTTTTTATCTTAACTTTTTTCCCCCATCTGAAATAATCTCAGACTGAAAGAAAAACCGTCAGTGTAGTCCGTAGAACTTCTTTTCCTGCTCTATTTGGAAGTGAGCTGTTTATCTGATGCCCTTCCCCCCAGGAGACCTGTGTTCATTTCCTACAAACAGAGGCACTTTCTACATCACTGGGGACATGGTGTGGACATAGACTCTTCCAAAATGTAGGTTAGACCTGTGTTCCTTGGCCTTTTCTTCCAATTGTGGAAAATGTAGACATTTGGAACAGGGTCTCAAAATTTAGAAAGCTGCAGGCACAGCTCTATATAAACAATTATTTCAACCTTTCATTGTGTCTCATCCAAAAAACTTCCTGATTGTCTAATTGCTCCCCGACTAATTTTTGCTTTCCTTTCTCTGTGTTATATGAGGGTATTTGGTGCGAATAGTTATCTTTAACAGCCCAAGAGTTTTGGAGGACTTAAGTTCTCATAAAACATTTACAAAGTAAAAGACAGAATGTAGAAAATCAAACTACCATTTATTTTGTAGCATTGCAGATGTAACTGAATACATCTCTGGAAATATTTTGACAGCGTGCAGGATGTGCTGTGATGTATTTAAATTTGCTTATCTTTCCGTATGCAAATTCTCTCCATGTCACCTTTTTCGCTTTTCAGGATCTGCTGTATGTCCTTCCAACTCACATTCAGGCAGCAAGAGCCGGCAACACCGTCCACGCCATCCTGCTTTACAGGCGCAAACTGGACCGGGAGGAAATCAAACCAGTAGGCACACAAATTGCTTTAAAAAAATTCTTTTCAAACAGCTTAACAGAGGTATAATTGACGTATTGCACATGTTTAAAGTATACAGTTTGTGGCCGGGCACAGTGTCTCACGCCTGTAATCCTGGCACTTTGGGAGGCCAAAGCAGGCAGATCATCTGAGGTTAGCAGTTGAAGACCAGCCTGGCCAATACAGTGAAACCCCATCTCTACTAAAAATACAAAAATTAGCTGGGCATGGTGGCACGTGCCTGTAATTCCAGCTACTTGGGAGGCCAATGCAGGATAATCGCTTGAACCTGGGAAGCAGAGGTTGCAGCAAGCTGAGATTACGCCATTGCACTCCAGCCTGGGTGATAAGAGCGAAACTCCGTCTCAAAAAAAAAAAGAAAAATTAAAAAATAAAGTGGAGAGTTTGATAACTTCTGACGTGTGTATATTGATGCATCTGAGAAACCATCATCACTGCAGTCAGGATGGTGAATACATCAGTCAACCCAAAACCCCTCTGCCCTTTGTCATCTCTCCCTCCCACCTGGTCCTGGACCCCGGTCTACTGTCTGTCACTCTAGATTAGTTTGTAATTTTTAAAGCTTTATGTAAGTGGAATCATACAGTATGCACTCTTTTTTTCTAAATTCTAGTTTCTTTCACCGAGCCTAATTATTTTGAGATTTAATTCTACTTGTGTCTCCTAAATGAATATACATCTGTTGTACTTTAGTTCTGTAATCTGCCCTTCAAAGAAGCCCTTGTTGTTTTTGAACTAATACTAGCTGGTGGGTTGCTCGTAAGAAACAAGACTTTTCTTCCTGAAATATTTCTTTGGTTTTAAGTGTCACTTACAAATAATTGATTAGAATGTGTTATTTAGGATTTTACTGTGCAAGAAGTTGCACCCTGGCATGATTTAATGAGTCCCCCAACGAATCATTCCAGGGAGCCATTGGAAAAGAGGAAGTCAAACCAAGCAATTTACACAGAAAACACATTTAGTATTTCCACGTGGTCTTAACTTGCTGCTTTTCTCTCTCTCTCTTTTTTTTTTTTTTTTTGAGATGGAGTCTCACTGTGTTGCCCAGGCTGGAGTACAGTGGTGTGATCTCGGCTCACTGCAAACTCCGCCTCCCAGGTTCACGCCATTCTCCTGCCTCAGCCTCCCGGGTAGCTGGGACTACAGGCACCTGCCACCAGGCCCGGCTAATTTTTTGTATTTTTAGTAGAGACAGGGTTTCACCGTGTTAGCCAGGATGGTCTCGATCTCCTGACCTCGTGATCTGCCTGTCTCGGCCTCCCAAAGTGCTGGGATTACAGGCGTGAGCCATCGCGCCCGGCTTTTTTTTGTTTTGTTTTGAGATGGAGTCTCACTCTGTCCCCCAGGATGGAGTGCAGTAGCTCGATCTCGGTTCACTGCAACTTCCTCCTCCCGGGCTCAAGCGATTCTCCTGCCTCAGCCTCAGGAGTAGCTGGGACTACAGGCGTGCGCCACCGTGCCTTGCTAAGTTTTGTATTTTTAGTAAAGACGGGATATCTCTGCCTTAGTCAGGCTGGTCTCAAAGTCCCAACCTCAGGTGATCCGCCCGCCTCAGCCTCCCAAAGTGCTGGGATTACAGGCGTGAGCCACCGCGCCCGGCCAACTTGCTGTTTTTCTTCTGTGGGATTTTCTTCTGTGGGATTCTTCTGTTGGTTTGAAATGTATTTTTGTTACAGATTCGTCTTTTGGGATCCACGATTCCACTCTGCTCCGCTCAGTGGGAGCGAATGTTTAACACTTCCCGGATCCCAGGAGAGGAGACAGGTGAGTGAAGCTTCTTCGGGGATCCCTGGGGAATCGGCACTTTCCATCCCTGTGCTCAGAATCAGGAAGTGTCAAAGGGGCCAAATTGATTTTTGCTGACCCTTCCTGAGACTGTAGGCTGGTGAGCATTCCTTCTGCTGAATTTCCTTTGTCTTTCTTAGGCCTGGACACTGTTGTTGACTGATTTCCAGATTTTAATTTCTCTCTGGTTGAAGACTGCCGACTGTCTTATAGAGTGATTGATTGATTGATTGATTGATTTTGAGATGAGGTCGGTCTCTGCCACCCAGACTGGAGTGCAGTGACATGATCACGGCTCACTTCAGCCTCCACGTCCTGAGCTCAAGGAATCCTTCCATCTTAGCCTCCCCAGTAGCTGGGACCACAGGCACATGCATCATGCCTGGCTAATTTTTGCATTTTTTATAGAGATGAGGTTTTGCCGTGTTGCCCAGGCTGGTCTCAAACTCCTGGACTCATGCCCAGCTGAGTGTTTTTTCCTGAGTCTGAATTCCTCAGGGGCATTTTGCTCCGGCTCACAGGCAGGGTTTGTGGTGGAACGCATACTGGGTCGTGCTCGAGAAGGTCGATTTGTGTTCCAGACACTCCTGTATCAGCTGCCTGACCTGGGCAGAGTGGCCACATAAGCCACCATCCAAACCAGGATATCCTTGAGAATGACAGGAAAGGGAGAACAGGCACCATGGGGACCATCTAGGCTAGGCACGGGCCCAGGCTGTGCCGTCCATGGCCTCCATTTCCCCCATTTCCCCAGGTGCCTGTGAATGGGGAACTACCCAGAGACACTTGATGAGCTAGAGCCCAAGACCACCATGGCAGGCCTGTATGATGGGCAGGCCTCAGGGCTGCTTGGGAAGCTGGCTGGAAAGGGCCAGAGCTGACCCGGAGCTTTGAGTGTCTTGTTGCAGCCCAGTCCTTCTAGACCAAGCCCTAGTTAGTACTATGCACTGTGGTGGTCGTTGGGGAGCCTTTGCTGTAGCCTTGCACAAAAGCTGGTCTCTGGGCTTTCCTAAGCAGATTCTCCCCTTGCCTCTGATCCTGCCTTCAGAGGTTCTCTAAAAACCCATCCTGGCCAGGTGCAGTGGCTCACACCTGTAATCCCAGCACTTTGGGAGGCCGAGGTAGGTGGATCACCTGAGGTCAGGAGTTCAAGACCAGCCTGACCCACTAGACGATCTGCCTTGATCAGCTGTCACTGTGCGTCCCCACTGAGCAGTGCTTAAGAGGACTTGATACATATTCGTGGAGTGAATGTACTTCATCACATTTCTGTGATGTTGAAGCTTACTGAGGATCTTAAATTACTCTGTTTTAGTAGTTTTTACGGAATGGCTTGGTTTCATAATTTTCCACTTCCTTTCTCAGAACATTTCTCAGGTTCTCAGAAACAATTCTCAGAATGTTTCTCAGAATAGTTTCTAAGTTGCCCTATTGTCATTAATTAATAAAAAGTTACTACACTAATCCACTGCCTACTTTATATGAGCTTTATGGATATCATCTCTTAATTCTTGCACAGCGCACATGGAGAACATATGATCTCCATTTTACAGAGAGGCTTAGGGAGGGCTGGGCAATTTCTTTTTTTTTAATGATAATATTCCATTTTGCTAAGCATGCTTTTTTTTCCCCCTGAGACGGAGTCTCACTCTGTTACCCAGGCTGGAGTGCAGTGGCGTGATCTCGGCTCACTGCAACCTCCACCTCCTGGGTTCAAGCGATTCTCCTGCCTCAGCCTCCCGAGTAGCTGGGACTACAGGCGCATGCCACCACACCTGGCTAATTTTTGTATTTTTAGTAGAGGCGAGGTTTCACCATGTTGACCAGGCTGGTCTCGAACTCCTGACCTCATATGATCCTCTCACCTCACCCAAAGTGCTGGGATTACAGGCGTGAGCCACCTCTCCCAGCCTCCCACTGCGCCTGGCCTCAGGTAATTTGTTTGAGGTCATAATCTAATGAGTGACCAAGCTGAGCTCAGAAGTCAGGCCTATCCGATCCAGAGCTTTAACTCCATGCTGTCCTTAATCATTTAAAACGTCTTGAGGAATAGGCTCCTGAGGCTGCCTGGAGGGATGCAGAGCAGGGACTCCCATGGCCTTTAAAGAGTCAGGGTACGGTCGTCTCAGCACGCGGTGAACTTGGGACTCTTGGTTTTGTGTCTCCAACCTGCGGCCGGCTCAGACACCATCCAGCACATGAGAGACAGCAAGCACATCGTCGTGTACCATCGAGGGCGCTACTTCAAGGTCTGGCTCTACCACGACGGGCGGCTGCTGAAGCCCCGGGAGATGGAGCAGCAGATGCAGAGGATCCTGGACAACACCTCGGAGCCTCAGCCTGGGGAGGCCAGGCTGGCAGCCCTCACCGCAGGAGACAGGTGCGCGGCCCAGGTCCCTCGTCCTGTTTTGAGGGGTGGTGGAGGCGCTCCTCCTCACCGGGGCCCATCCCCGTCGGGGCCTGTGGGAACACTGGTACAGGGCTCCCCACCTCAGCTCTGTTTTGCTCTGGGGTCTCCCCGCTCGGTGGGTCTCAAGAGCAGTGGGGACATGGTGGGGAGTCCCTGGCCACTCCTGTGTGTGTCAGGCAAATGTGTGTGGAAACACTCCAGAGTCCAGGATGGGGAGAAATGAGGACTAGAATTAGGCTTGTTTTCTTTTTTTTTTTTTTTTTTTTTGAGAGGGAGTCTCACTCTGTTGCCTAGGCTGGAGTGCAGCGGTGCTATCTCAGCTTACAGCAACCAGCAACCTCCTCCTCCCAGGTTCAAGCGGTTCTCCTGCCTCAGCCCCCCTGAGTAGCTGGGAGTGCACCACCACGCCCGGCTGATTTTTATATTTTTAGTAGAGACAGGGTTTCACCATGTTGGCCAGGCTGGTCTCAAACTCCTGATCTCAAGTGATCCATCTACCTTGGCCTCCCAAAGTGCTGGGATTACAAGCATGAGCCACATGCCTGGCCAGAATTAGCCTTTCTTACGGTGCTGTGGGCATAGTTATTAATTTAGGAAACAGGACAAATTGAAACCAACGCCCCTGTGTTAGTTACATTTCCTTGCCTCAGTGAAATAGAATCAGGCTGGGCACAGTGGCTCATGCCTATAATTCCAGTGCTTTAGGATACCAAGGCAGGAGAGTCACTTGAGCCTTGGGGTTTGAGACCAGCCTGGGCAACGGAGTGAGGCCCCATCTCACAAAAAATTAGCCAGGCTTGGTGGTGCGTGCCTGTAGTCCCAGCTAGTCAGGAGGCTAAGGCAGGAGGATTGCTTGAGCCCAGGAAGTCGAGGCTGCAGTAAGCCATGATCGAGGCACTGCACTCCAGCCTGGGTGACAGAGTGAGACCTTGTCTCAAAAAATAAAACAGAAAGAGAATCAGCCAAGCTTGGTTTTCTCGAGGGTGTGGTGTGTGAGGTATAGTAGGGTTTCTCACCTCAGCGCTGCGCACACTCAGGGCCGGGTACCTCTTTGTAGGGGGCACTGCCCTGTGCAGCGTCAGATGCTGAGCAGCAGCCCCGGCCTCTGCCCACCGGCTGCCAGTAGCAACCTGTGTGACAACCAGAAGTGTCGCAGACATTGCCCAGCATCTGGGGGACACTGTTGTCCCCGGCTGAGAGCTGCCACATTCCAGCAGTGTGACAACTGCCCTGGGAGTAAGGCGGGAGGGGCAGGTGTCGCGGCCCCTTCTGCAAAGATCAGGAGAGGCTCTGTGCTGCATGCAGGGGCCGCAGGTGGGCTGTGTCTCGCAGAGGGTGGGAGCAGACCAGGACGGTGGGTGTCCAGGGGGTGGAGTGGCATGCCCTGGGGCAGCAGAGCAAGCAGGAGCTGTGGAGTGGGCTGGATGGCTGGGCCACGGTGCCAGGCTGGGGAGGGTCCCAGGCACCGAACCATATTGGAGCTTGATTCTGCGACTAGGGGCCACTTCAGGTGGTGTAGGGTGGGGTGGGCCGGGCCGGGGGGCATACGTAGGTTAATGCAGGAGATTCTTCTGGTTGGGCAGGGAGGAGGGGCCTCGGACACAGGGATACTTTTCGGTGGCCCAAGTAGTGAGGTCCTGAAAGAGGGCCAGGCCCGAGTGCAGGAAAGGGATGGGGGAGGATGTGTGCAGGGAAGCTGGCGTTGTTCGTTGTCCACTGTGGTGCTGACAGGCTGGAAGGAGCGGCAGCAGGAGATGCGTCTCAGGTGAAGATGTGCTCGCCCGGTGGGCTCCTCCGAGAGCCTGGAATCCCCAGCGGAGGAGACGTGGGGAGCCTGAGCAGGCGCTGTGGGGCCTGGGCTCCCTGTGGGTCTGTAGGTGCCTCAATCCTGATGCCCCCTCTGGATAGGACCAGACCAGCATCTTACCCATGGGAGTCCTTCACAAGAAGGGCTCCATACATGCCGGCCACCATCACCGTCACCTTTGTCCCCCTGGCAGGGTGTGCACTGGGGCCTGACGTGTTTCTAGGCTTATTGGCCCTGTGGGCCGCCGTATCCAAGCACTCGTAGAGAGAAGACGGTGGGGAGAGAGCCAGATGGCCCCGATCTGGAAGGGTGGGCAGTGGCAGAGGGCCCTGGAGGAGCTGGAGTGAGAGGGACCCAGGAGCATTCAAGGAAGCCCAGCTGGTGGGGTCTTCCAAGAAGGAAGTGGGCATCACATCAGTTCTGTGTATTCCAAATAAGACGGGCACAGAGACCTTGTGGAGGGATCACATGGGCATCTGTGGCATGCACTTGGGGGCTGATGACCTGGGTTCCAACTCTGCCTCAAAATAGCTGTGACCTAATCTTTCCGTGCTTCAGTTTTCTCATCTGAAAAATGGGTACAGTAGCATTGAGAAGATCAGTGAGTTGGTACACAGAAAAGGTTTGGAGCAGAGCCTGGCATGAGGGACACACTCTTACGCATTTACCGTGACCTGGGCTGCCGGAACTTACCTAGGGTGGTTCCTGTGGAGGGGAGGGAGGGCGTGTCGGGGAGCATGGGCGTGTCAGGGAGCATGGGGCATGGTGATCTGGGTCTGCTGCTTCCTGGCGGCTTTGCCCACAGGGCCAGCCTGCAATCTGGCCGTTCATTTAGCCAGCATTTATTGAACAAAAATTACCCACTGCTCCCTGTGCTGTGGTCTGGAGACCAGGAGAAGGTGAGAATCTTTCCAACAAACAGTCTCAGATGGGGAACATCGTCAAAATGGAGTTTTCCTTCGAGAAATTCTGAAACACTGCAAAGGTTTGATTGTGTCATTTCAAACATCATGTGCCAGGAGACATCGCTCCATGGCTGCAGGTCCGGCTGCCTTTAATCATATTTCATCTTCACCGCAGAGTTCCCTGGGCCAGGTGTCGCCAGGCCTATTTTGGACGGGGGAAAAATAAACAGTCTCTTGATGCTGTGGAGAAGGCAGCGTTCTTCGTGACGTTAGATGAAACTGAACAAGGATACAGAACGGAAGACCCAGATACATCGATGGACAGCTACGCCAAGTCTCTACTACATGGCCAATGTTATGACAGGTACCGTCCTTACTTTCTAAGAGATGGGAGTTTGCCCGTGAGCTTGGAAGAAATACCCTATGTGCCTGACACTCACCCCTAAGTATCTATAATGCTAAGGAAGAAGATGGCATAAAAATATAACCTTCAGTTTTATTTTATTTATTTATTTTTGAAATGGAGTCTTGCTCTGTCACCCAGGCTGGAGTGCAGTGGCTTGATCTCAGCTCACTGCAACCTCCACCTCCCGGGTTCAAGTGATTCTCCTCCTTCAGCCTCCCAAGTAGCTGGGATTACGGGCGTGTGCTGCCACACCCAGCTAATTTTTGTATTTTTAGTAGAGACAGGATTTCACCATGTTGGCCAGGCTGGTTATGAACTCCTGATCTCAAGTGATCCACCCACCTCAGCCTCTCTAAAGTGCTGGGATTACAGACATGAGCCACTGCGCCTGGCCAACCTTCAGTTTTCTTCCCTCCGCCAAAACTGTCACACACACACAGCTTAAGCTGCAAATCTGAGATTCCCTCCTCTGTGCATGACTACCTTTGTTTGGAGATGCTCATGAGATGCAGGGCTGCCAGGTCCCTGGACTCAGGCAGGGGATAGTGGCAAACAGGGCTGGGCACAGGGTTAGGCCAGGGTGTTGGCACGTGGCTATCTCAAGTCCTCTTTTCCTTATCTGTAAAGTGTTGACCAGCCCCCTGCAGGGTGGGGCCAAGGATTGGCTAATGAAGGGGTCTCGTGCCCACGGGAAGAGCCTCCCACCTCTCCCAGTTGCCTTGTGATAATAACAGGTCCTGACTTCAGGCTCCCAGGATATAAGCGCTCATCTTTGTGTCTGGGACAGGGAAGAAATGAGGGATTCAGTGTCCCATCTGTACTTTCGTCCTCACTCCAGAGATCGAGGAGCCGCTCCCTGTTAGAGGGGCAAATGCAAAGTAAATTAGTCCATCCAGGATGAAGCAGAGAGGTGCAGTGTCTCCTCATTTTTGCCTCGTTGAACACTTAAGTTCCACATATGTGTGTTTCACATAGGTGGTTTGACAAGTCGTTCACGTTTGTTGTCTTCAAAAACGGGAAGATAGGCATCAACGCGGAGCACTCCTGGGCAGACGCGCCGATCATGGCCCACCTTTGGGAGGTGAGTTTTCGCACTTTTCACTTGAATGTAGAAGTTGCTTTTGAAAATCCAAACCTGGCCAGGCGCGGTGGCTCACGCCTGTAATCCCAGCACTTTGGGAGGCCGAGGCGGGCGGATCACGAGGTCAGGAGAATGAGACCATCCTGGCTAACACGGTGAAACCCTGTCTCTACTAAAAATACAAAAATTACTGGGCGTGGTGGCGGACGCCTGTAGTCCCAGCTACTCAGGAGGCTGAGGCAGGAGAATGGTGTGAACCCGGGAGACAGAGGTTGCAGTGAGCCGAGATTGCACCACTGCGCTCCAGCCTGGGCGAAAGAGCGAGACTCCGTCTCAAAAAAAAAAAAAAAAAAATTAGTAGTAAACTTGTAAAGACATCATAATGTATGACCTTCTTATTTCTTTAAAATTCTGTGAATGTTTTGAATCTTGACTTTTTTTTTTTTTTTGAGATGGAGTCTTGCTCTGTCACCCAGGCTGGAGTCGGGACCATAGGCAGCTGGATCACACAGGGTACATTTATCAAGTAGAGAAATCTACTGGATATTTACAGATCAGGCTTGTTTTTTAAAGTTCTCCAGATGAGGATAAAGGGATTTTGTCTTAGACCAGGGTGGCCACATAGAAGTAGTGGTGTTTAGCTGTTAGCGTCCAGCAGACAGGATGGCCTGACTCCAGGGGCCCCTGGCTGGGGGCTCATGTGATCCAGACACAGATGGGGACTGACCTAGTCTTGTGTGTAGGCCCAGTGCAATCCCTTAAAGACAGATCTAGTCAAACTTGAGTCTGTCTGTTCTTGTTCTGTTTTTGTTTTTTATTTTTTGAGACAGGGTCTTGCTTTGCTGCCCAGGCTGGACAGCAGTGGTGCAATCTCAGCTCACTGCAACCTCCAACTCCTGGGTTCAAGTGATTTTCCCAACTCAGCCTTCCGAGTAGCTGGGACCACAGGTGTGCGCCACCACACCCAGCTAATTTTTGTATTTTTTGTAGAGACGGAGTTTTGCCACATTGCCCAGGCTGATCTCGAACTCCTGGCTTCAAACAATCTGCCTGCCTTGGCCTTCCAAAGTGCCGGGATTACAAACATGAGCCACCGCACCCGGTCTTGCTCTTGATTTATTTCTGATGTTTCTGTGTCAGGCTCTCCTGGAGCTCCGACCTTGTGGTGGTGTTTTTACCTCCCTCACTAGAATGTAAGCTTCCTGAGCACAGGGATTCCTCTTTTTAAAAAACCTAATTTTTTTAGTTGAGGTATGAGTCACATACCTTAAAATCTACCCTTTGAAAGTGTACAATTCAGTGGTTTTTAATGTATTCACAAAGTGCTTGTGCAACAGTCACTACTTAGCCTCCTGAGTAGCTGGGATTACAGGCGTGCATCACCATACCCACCTAATTTTTGTATTTTTGGTAGAGGCGGGGTTTCCCCTTTTTGGCCAGGTTGGTCTTGAACTCCTGACCTAAAGTGATCTGCCTGCGTTGGCCTCCCAAAGCGCTGGGATTACAGTCGTGAGCCATGGAGCCCAGCCTAATTTTGTAATATTTGCATCACCTCCAAAAGAAACTCCTCGTTCCTTTCTCCCACAGGTCCCCGATAACTACTAATCTGCTTTCTGTCTGTATGTATGTGCCTATTTTGGACATCTTATATCGATGTCCATACAATATGTGCTCTTCTATGTCTGGCTTCTTTTTTCTTTTCTTTTGCTTGCTTTCTTTTTTAGAGACAGGGTCTTGCTCTGTCGCCCAGGCTGGAGTGCAGTGGCACAGTCATGGTTCACTGAAACCATGACCTCCTGGGCTCAAGTGATCTTCCCACCTCAGCCTCCTCAGTAACTGGGGCTACAGCCATGTGCCACCACACCTGGCTAATTTTTTAAATTTTTTGTAGAGATAAGATCTCACTATGTTTCCCAGCTGGTCTGGAACCCCTGGCCTCCAGCAATCCTCCCACCTTGGCCTCCCAAAGTGCTGGGATTACATAAGTGAGGCACCTCGCCTGCCTGCTTCTTTTCACCCAGCATAATGTTTTCAAGGTTCGTCACATTGTAACACGTACCTGGGCTTCATTCCTTTCTAGGGCTGGATAATATCCCATTGTATGGATTGACCACACTTAGTTTATCTCTTCATCAGTTGATGGGCATTTGTGTTCTTGCCACTCTTCGGCTATTATGAATAATGCTGCTATGAACATTCTGTACAAATTTTTGTGTGAACATCTATTTTCATTTCATTTCACTGAGTATATACCTAGGAGTGGAATTGCTGGGTCATACAGGTATATTTCACTTTTTAAGAAAGGACAAGAATTCCTGTCTGTTTTGTTCACAAAACACAGTTCTTGTCTGCACTGTCACCAGTGCTTGGATGCCACTGGTGCTACAGTGGTTCCAACCCAGAGTAGGTGCCCAGTAAATACTGTTGAATAAATTGGCTTAAGTTTACTTGCCAGTGAAAGGAGAGTGTCACAAACTTAAGCAAGCCATTAGCCCTCATCTGTCCTCTTTGTCACATCTGACATGGAGATCAGATCCACCTCATTAGGTGCTGAGAATACTGGAAGTGTTAACAGCCATGGTTCAAACTTTGTAACATCTCTGTTCATGCTAGAGATTAATATGTTTTATGTACCACTGTTAGTTTTAATAATTTTGTTCTATTTTTGACAGTACGTCATGTCCACTGACAGCCTCCAGTTGGGCTATGCAGAGGATGGGCACTGCAAAGGCGACACCAATCCGAACATTCCGTACCCCACCAGGCTGCAGTGGGACATCCCCGGGGAAGTAAGTCTGCATCATCCAACCATTGTTACTTACCTGGGATGGGAAACACATTTGAAGTCTTACAGATGAATTTTCCAACTGTAGTTCCTGCCTGATCATGAGCTCAGTTGAAGACCACTGAGGCTGAAAGTTGTTTGCTCAGGGAGTTTCGTGAGGTCTGCCGGGCTGTCACAGCTCCTGTTGCTCGGAAGCCTCGGTAAATATTTCTTCTTCTGTTTGAAGCTTCTGGCTAAGATTGTCAGTGTGACTTCCAGGTCAAACTTAACTAGACATCTACAGAATGCTCATAATCAAAAACTAAAAGCCAAAATCATATAGGTTAGAGCTGAAAGCCTCTAAATTGCTAATTTATAATTCTCAATGTTTAATTCATTTTGGCACCTCTTAAACATAATCAGAGGCAGCCCACTCACGGGAGCCCTTTTGGGAAGGAATTTTAGGGTTGCAAATACCAAATCCTAGTTCACTTACTCCAAAGAAAAATTCCCTGGAGTCCAAGGTATCATTTTCTATTTTTTTTTTCTTCTTTGACATACAGTCTCGCACTGTCACCCAGGCTGGAGTGCAGTGGCGCAATCTCAGCTCACTGCAACCTCCGCCTCCCAGGTTCAAACGATTCTTCTGCCTCAGCCTCCCAAGTAGCTACGATTACAGGCACCCGCCACCAAGCCCAGCTAATTTTTGTATTTTTAATGGAGACGGGGTTTCATCATGTTGGCCAGGCTGGTCTTGAACTCCTTACCTGATCCTCCTGCCTCAGCCTCCCAAAGTGCTGGGATTACAGGCGTGAGCCACTGCACCCAGCCCACCATTTTCTTTTTAAATTAATTAATTAATTTATTTGAGACAGAGTCAAGGTCTGTTATTCAGGCTGGAGTGCAGTGGTGTGGTCACAGCTCACTGCAGCCTCAAGTTCCCCAGGTCCAGCAATCTTCCCACCTCAACCTCCCGAGTACCTGGGACCACAGGTGCATGCCACAACGCCCAGCTAATTTTTATATTTTTGGTAGAGACAGGGTTTCACCATGTTGCCCAGGCTGGTCTCAGACTCCTGAGCTCAAGCAAGCTACCCGTCTGGCCTCCCAAAGTGTTGGGATTACAGGCCTGAGCCACGGCACCTGGGTTAGAAATAATTTTCCACATAGTGAAGTACTGTATCTAGTGCTGTGGTCTTACCCCATTGCTTCTGCTTGCCCTGTGGCTGCAGGGCTGGTGTGGGTTCAAAAGAGAGCTGTAACCTCTGCGGAGCACTTGGGCTTAGAGTCCTGATATCTCACCAAGTCACCACGTTTTTAAAAATTTCTTTTAACAGACTATTTTTTAGAACAGTTTGGGTTCACAGCAAAACTGAGTTCCCATACACCCCTCTCCCAACACTTACACAGCGTCCCCAACTATCCACATCCCCAACAGAGTGATGCATTTGTTACAACTGACACACCTGCACCAACCAAGGTTCATGGTGGATTTACTGTTGGTGTCGTACGTTGTCTGGGTTTTGACACATGGACAATGCCCTGTGTCTGCCATTACAGTGTCATACAGAATTGTTTCACTGCCCTAAACATCTTTGGTGCTTCGCCTATGTATTCTTCCTTCCTACTAGCTAGCCCCTGGCAACCATGAATCATATTCACTGTCCCCATAGTTTTACCTTTTCCAGAATGTCACATACAGTAGCTCCCCCCATTAGCTGAGGTTTCACCTTCTGAGATTTCAAATCCAAGTTCCGAAAATATTAAACAGAAAATTCCAGAAGTAAACAACTCATCAGTTTCAAGTTGCATGCTATTCTGAGTAGTGAGAGGTGGCAACGTGCTAGCAGCCCTCGCTCTCAGCCTCCTTAGCTTCGGTGTTCACTCTGACTGCGCTTGAGGAGCCCTTCAGCCCGCCACGGCACTGTGGGAGTCCCTCTCTGGGCTGGCTGAGGCTGGAGCTGCCTCCCTCTGCTTGCGGGGAGGTGTGGAGCGAGAGGCGTGGGCGGGAACCGGGGCTGTGTGCGGCGCTCGCGGGCCAGTGTGAGTGCCGGCGGGCGCGGGCTCAGTGGACCCCGCACTTGGAGACGGCCGGCTCTGCCGGCCCAGGGCAGTAAAGGGCTTAGCACCAGGGCCAGCAGCTGTGGAGGTTGCGCTGGGTCCCCCAGCATACCAGCCCGGCGGCGCTGCGCTCAAATTCTGGCTGGGCCTTAAGCCGCCTCCCCGCCGGGCAGAGCTCCAGACCTGCAGCCTGCCATGTCTGAGCTCCCCCGCGCCCCCCTGCGGCGCCGCCCCCTGCTCCGTGGTGCCCAGTCCCATCAATAGCCCAAGGGCTGAGGAGTGCAGGTGCGAATCAGGACTGGCGGGGAGCTCCGCCTGCAGCCCCTGTGCAGGATCCACTAGGTGAAGCCAGCTGGCCTCCCGAGCCGGACGCGGACTTGGAGGACTTTTATACCTAGCCAGAGGATTGTATATGCACCAATCAGCACTCTGTATCTAGCTAATCTGGTGGGGACTTGGAGAACTTTTATGTCTAGCTGGAGGATCGTAAATACACCAATCAGCACTCTGTGTCTAGCTCAGGGTTTGTAAATACACCAATCAGTACTCTGTGTCTAGCTCAAGGTTTGTAAATACACGTGAATTGGTACTCTAATGGGGTCTTGGAGAACTTTTCCGTCTAGCTCTGTGTCTAGCTCAAAGATTGTAAACGCACCAATCAGTGCGCTGTCAAAACGGACCAATCAGCTCTCTGTAAAATAGACCAATCAGCTCTCTGTAAAATGGACCAATCAGCAGGATGTGGGTGGGGTCAGATAAGGCAATAAAAGCAGGCTGCCGGAGATGGCAGTGGCAAGTTGCTAGGGTTCTTTTCCAGACTGCGGAAGCGTTGTCTTTCGCCATTTGTAATAAAGCTTGTTGCTGCTTGGTCTTTGGGTCCACGTTGCGTTTATGAGGTGTTACACTCACTATGAAGATCTGTAGTTTCATTCGTGAAGCCAGCGCCACTGGGAAGAAGGTGCAAACTCCGGACACACCATTTTTAAGAACTGTAACACTGCGAGGGTCCGCGGATTCGTTCTTGAAGTCAGTGAGACCAAGAACCCACCAATTCCGGAGACAGTAGTGTGATGAAAGCTCCTGTCCTGTGCAGTCCCATGCAGGATGGAATCATCCTTTTGTCCCTTTGTCAAGTGTGTCTGTGCTATAGGTGCTACCCACTTAGTGGCTGTCTTGGTTATGAGCTTGAGAAAATACCGTAGGTATAATGTTTGGCACTGTGGCACTATCTGAAGTGTCAGACATCTGTGGGGAGTCTTGGAATGGGTCCACATGGTTAAAGGCTGCTGCTGTAATTGGAATCATCCGTGTGTAGCGTTTTCAGATTGGCTTCTTTCACTTAGTAATAGTTGTTTAAATTTTTATGGTTCATTTATTTCTAGTGCTTAATATTTCATTGTATGGTTGTCCATTTATTTTCTAAGATTTATTTTTAAGAATGTGTTTTATCAGTCGGGCACAGTGACTCATGCCTGTAATCCCAGCACTTTGAGAGGCGGAGGTGGGTGGATCACCTGAGGTCAGGCGTTCAAAACCAGCCTGGCCATCATGGTTGAAACCCCGTGTCTACTAAAAATACAAAAATTAGCCGGGCATAGTGGTAGGCGCCGGTGGTCCCAGCTACTCGGGAGTTTGAGATGGGAGAATGGCTTGAACCAGGGAGGCAGAGGTTGCAGTGAGCAGAGATGGCACCACTGCACTCCAGCCTGGGTGACAGAGCGAGACCCTGTCTCAAATAAAAAATAAATAATAAGTAAAAAATGTGTTTCTTGATCGCCTCTGTCTGAGGACCGTGGGCTTCATAAGATGACGCGTGACTATTCAAAACACACTGTGGAGTCTCACTGTACCGGTCTGCAGCAACCTCAATTCTTGCCTTCTCAGAAGGAATTTGGCTGTGGGGCAGAAGGCAGGAGAGACCAAGAGCGGGAAAGAAAGTTTATTAAAAAACTTAGGAAAGTGCATTTGGAAGAGGGCCAAGCGGCCAACTTGGGAGATCAAGTGCGAGGTTTGACCTCTTGACTTGAGGTTTTACACATTGGCATGCTTCCAGGGTCTTGCATTACTTCTCCTGATTCCTTCCTTGGGGTGGGCTATCCGCTTGCACTGTGGCTGCCAGCGCTTGGGAAGGGAGCATGCGCAGTGTGTTTACTGGAATTGTGCGCATGCTCACTTGAGGTGTTCTTCCCTTGCATGTCTAGCGTTCCTAGAGGAAGATCATACTCCAGTTAGACGCCGCCATTTTGCCTCTCAGTGCGCATGCTTGAGCCCGTTCGCCCGGCGCCTGAGATCTTATCCGGAAGTTGCTGGTCACCAGCTCCGTTTCTATGTACTGGGAGGCTGCCTTTCCCTGGCACCAGCTGTGATCAATTATTATTTTAGAGAGGCAGTTCACAACCACCTGACCATCACTGATGGTCGCCTGACATTCCCAGTGTGTGTGGAAGGAAGCTCTCTCCTGGCCTGCTCATGTCAGACCAGCTACCTGCTCTAACATTCCGGCTTCTCCTCCGGGGTCAGGGAACCATACCCCTAACTTACTAGTGCTTCTGGGTCAGGAAAACGTTTGTGTACTTCCCAGTACCAAGTTTGTAGCTGCACTGAAAGCCAGCCTCCGATTTCCTTCTGGGTGTGCGTCTGTACTTTTATCCCCTCGTTCCGTAAAACCTTTTTCTTCTTTCTCTCTAGTGTCAAGAGGTTATAGAGACCTCCCTGAACACCGCAAATCTTCTGGCAAACGACGTGGATTTCCATTCCTTCCCATTCGTTGCCTTTGGTAAAGGAATCATCAAGAAATGTCGCACGAGCCCAGACGCCTTTGTGCAGCTGGCCCTCCAGCTGGCGCACTACAAGGTAAGAACCGAACGCCTAGGGTTTTCTCGTGAGCACTTTGGGGTTTCCTACACCTGCCCAAGACTGTTCACCTAGTGGAGAGGGAAGGCCCGAAACCCGGCATAGGAGAAGCACAGCCCCCACCCCCGGTCTCTGGGGACCGGGTGGCGTGGGGTGTTTCACCACGCATGCAGGCGAAGCTCGCAAATCCCCCTCCAGCAGGTGTAGATTCCCAGCTGACACGGGAGGAGGAGAGTCTGGGGGATAGGTATAAAGTGAGATCTCATCACTCTACAGTGGGAGAGTTAAGCCCCAAAATAAGCCCTGAATCCTAGCATTTGCTAAAGTGGAAATAGTGTGGGCAGTTAGGGGAATAGTCAGTTGTATTCGTCTGGCGCTCGGTAAATCTGCACTTTACACAGGTCAAGTGATACAGAGTGGACGTGTTCTACCTTTCATCTGTCGCTGTCTGCTTGGGAACAAAATAAAAGGCAGCTTCTTGCATGACTCAGCTTTCGGCTTAATCCTTTCCTTTTGGCAGAGTAAATCTTCCTGTCATGATACTAAATTAAATTATGGTATTTTCATACAGTGGAATATGATATAGCTATTAAGTGATGTCTGTGGGCAAATTACTTAACATCTCTGGCCTTTGACATCCCCTTCCATAAAAGGAGAAACTCCAGCCACTTGGACGTGCCATGGGCTGGATCCTCCGTATACACATGGCATTTCCATCTGTTTTTTCTGAGCACTGGCCATATTTTGATTTGCACCTGGCGACTCCTGTTGGAGGAGCAGCTGGCACCCCTAGCAGGGATGTAAATGGGTCTTCTTGTCCATTGGAGGGAGCATTCCATCCCAGAGAGGGAGCCCCTGGTTTCTGGGAGCAACAGAAGTCATCGTGGCATTGGCTTGAGATATTCCCAACTTTTTTTTTTTTTTGAGATAGAATCTCACTCTTGTTGCCCAGGCTGGAGTGCAATGGTGTGATCTCGGTTCACTGCAACCTCCATCTCCTGGGTTCAAGCGATTCTCCTGCCTCAGCCTCCCGAGCAGCTGGGATTACAGGTGTGTGCCACCATGCCCAGCTAATTTTTTGTATTTTTAGTAGAGATGGGTTTCACCATGTTGGCCAGCTGTTCTCGAGCTCCTGGCCTCAGATGATCTGTCTGCCTTGGCCTCCCAAAGTGCTGGGATTATAGGCATGAGCCACCGTGCCCGGCCTTGTTTTAAAACTTGAGTATTGTACACATATGCAGCGTGTGGCACTGCCCCCCCCAACCTTGGTAATGATTGTGCCATTGTTGAGTTTTGCTTGGTGCATCACGTACATCATGCTTCACTGTCTCTCCACCTGGGAAGCACTCTTGTTATCCCATTTTTAAAAATTTACAAGTCTCCATTATGCCCCAGAAACTCTTGTTATCCCATTTTACAGGTGAGGAAACAGGTGCGGAGAGGCCAGGTGCTTGGCCAGGGTAGCACTAGGCAGGGATAAAGCTGGCTGGCGGCTCCAGAGTCTGTGCCCTCTCCACCTAAAGTTAAGAAAGCAACAGTTACAGAGAAGTAATAGGCAGTGTTAATATCGGATGAACTGGAATGAATGGGCCACAATCATATTTACAATGTATGCTAATACAGTTCTGCAACGACTGTCACAGTTATGAAGCTTTGCTTTCCCAAGTAACATGCTCGCTAGGTGTGAGCCAAAAGCAGCTGGGCAGAGCACTGGAGTGCAGTGACAAGCTCCTGTCTGTGACAGATCATTGACTAAAGATCATGTGATGAAAAGGTGACATGGAATAGAGGCATCGCATCTCAGAATCAGTGAGCTGGATTTTGAGAACTGATGAGCGGATTTTGCCCATACATGTGCAGTGTGAGGGCGTGCAAGCAGTTGATACCTCACATACTGAAAGGATGGTATTTTATCTTCTCAAATTTTTTTCTTTTTTAAAAGAAGTCCCTGCAAGTAAGTGCAGGACCCAGAGAGGAGTTTAGTAAGGGAATGCCACGCTGCATTTTAGTACATTTTAAAACTTGATGAAATGACTCTCCTGCAAGCAGTACAAATTAGTGATGCTGACTCAAGGTAGAAAGCCTGAAAAGGTCTGTGGTCCATGGACCAAAGTGAGAGGTTGTCAGGCAGCCACCTCGTGGCTCCAAAGAGCTTGCGGCTCAAAGACTCCACAAAGAAAGGAAGCCACCCCATCTGCTCCCTAGAACCCACGTGGCCCAGGTGTGGGAATGAGGTGCAAGGAGCACCAGCCACTGTGCCAAGTACTTTGCAGGAGCGAGCGAAACATCAGGACAGCCCCGAGGAAGGCATCTCTTCATCTCTGCCTTCCACACTCGGAGGTGAAGCCTCTTGCCTGAGGGCTGCAGCTCCTACACAGCAGGACTGAGATCAGAACCAGGCAGGTTTGTTCCAGACCCTGTGGCTTTCACCACTGTGCTGCAGCTAAACACAGAAAAAGGAAACACAGACCAGCTTCCCTCATGAATGGAAGTGCAGAGACCCTCAATAAAATCTTAGCAAGTAGAATCCAGCACGTAGGAAAAAAAGAGTCACCGACAGTGGCGTCCACCAGCAGTGAGAGGCTGGTTTTGGGTCAGTACATCCAGTCATACACTAAACCATACTGGTGGGTCAGAGAAGAACCTAGATAGTGAGTTTCACAGATCCTAAGAAGACATTTCACATTTAACATCCATTCCTGATAACAGCTCTTGGTCAAGGGGCTTAGTAACAGGGCTCTTTCCTTAACAGGATAAATGGCATCGTGTGTTAATAGCTAGCTACTGCGTCAAGGTAAAAGTGTGGGAGGCAGTCCCATTAAAACAAGAAAGATGAGGATGCCTCCAGCAGCTGACAGGGTAATCGGGCAGGAGGAACATTGGTGTCTGCTCAGGAGATGGAACAGCAGAAAGGCTCTGATGATTAAGAGGTACACTCAGTGAGCCGGCCCAGCACAGAGGCGCACGAAGACCACCAGCTTTCTTGCGTAAGGATGATGGCCAACTGGGAAATACAATAAGAGAATGTAATAGAAAGGAGAATCTGGGGCCCCACCCTCCAGGCATACGTGTATAAAGCAGACTGGACTCTGGGAAGAAGGCCAAGGAGCACCCACCCCCCAACTCTTCCCCGGGGAGAGGGAGAAAAAGCCATGATTTTGGATTAAAAAAACTTAAGAACCATAGAGGGAGGGATGTTCCCAGTTCATACTTTTTTTTTTTTTTTTTGAGACGGAGCCTTACTCTGTTGCCTAGGCTGGAATGCAGCGGCATGATCTCAGCTCACTGCAGCCTCTGCCTTCTGGGTTCAAGTGATTCTCCTGCCTCAGCCCCTCGAGTAGCTGGAACTACAGGTGCCTGCCACCACACCTGGCTAATTTTTGTATCTTTAGTAGAGACAGAGTTTCACCATGCTGGCCAGGCTGGTCTCGAACTCCTGACCTCAAGTGATCTGCCTGCCTCAGCCTCCAAAAGTGCTGGGGTTACAAGCATGAGCCACCATGCCTGGCCCAGTTCACACGTTTAATATGAACACAGTAAAAGGTTAGGCAGGAGCTTCAGGAGAGGAGTTTGCCCAGTTGATCTTGAAGCTTGAAAAGCCTAACATTTGAGAGTCACCCATAACATTTTTGAAAAGAAAATCAGTCAGGCAGAGGTGGGACAGGGACAGGGGGAGGTAGACATGTACTTTTTCAAATCCTAAAACTCAAAAGTGTGGGAGTTAGAAGATTGTAGCGATTAAAGTGGTCTCACTCCTATAATCCCAGCACTATGGGAGGCTGAGGCAGGTGGATCACTTGAGCCTGGGAGTTTGAGACCAGACTGGGCAATATGGCGAGACTCTGTCCAAAAAATACGAAACAAAATTAGCCTAGCATGGTGGTGCATGCCTGTAGATGCAGGGTACTCAGGAGGCTAAGGTGAGAGGATCACTTGAGCCCCAGAGGTGGCGGCTGCAGTGAGTCCTGATCATGCCACTGCACTATAGCCTGGATGATAGTGAAGCCCTATCTTTTAAAAAATGTTTTTAATAAAAATAAAATGCTGCAGTCCTCGTTCAAAGGCAGGCCCGGGAAATAACGTGTAATGAAGGGAGTATTTGACATCAGTGGGGGATGGGGAGCTGGTGAGTAAATGGAGTTAGGAAATCTGGCTAAGTGGTTGCCGTTGGGGTTGGTAAAGGCTTTTTTTCATGTTGGTGAGGGTGGACTGAGGCAGGGATGTTCATAGCAGCAGCTGGGAATCGTTTTAATAAATATAGGGGCCCCATGGTAGGCCCAGGAGCAGCACAGACCACACAGCTGGAAACATGCATCAGGGAAGAATAACTTTGACCCTGCAGATGATCCATGAAAAAGGGCAGGTACACAAAAAAAACACTTGTGAGCAAGCTTACTGTAAAAATGTGAGGAAATCTGGCCGGGCTCAGTGACTCATGCCTGTAAGCCCAACACTTTGGGAGGCCTAGGTGGGTGGATCACTTGAGGTTAGGAGTTCGAGACCAGCCTGAACAACATGGTAAAATCCCATCTCTGCTAAAAATACAAGATTAGCTGGATGTGGTGACGCACACCTGTAATCCCAGCTCCTTGAGAGGGTGAGGCGGGAGAATCACTTGAACCAGGGAGGTGGAGGTTGCAGTGAACTGCCTAGACCGCACCACTGCACTCCAACCTGAGCAATAAGAACAAAACTCCATCTAAAAAAAAAAAAGAAGAAGAAATCTTAAAAGTTAATACTGGTAGGCTGGGTGCAGTGGCTCATGCCTATAATCCCAGCACTTTGGGAGGCCGAGGCGGGCAGATCACGAGGTTAGGACATGGAGACCATCCTGGCTAACACGGTGAAACCCTCTCTCTACTAAAAAAACAAAAAATTAGCCGGGCATAGTGGCGGGCACCTGTAGTCCCAGCTACTCGGGAGGCTGAGGCAGGAGAATGGCGTGAACCTGGGAGGCAGAGCTTGCAGTGAGCCGAGATCGCGCCACTGCACTCCAGCCT